AAGGCACATTTTAAGCAAGAGCATTCCAATAGGTCAAATGAAACAGGCGTAAATATGGTATGAATGCATAAAAAACTGTATAAATGGAAGTGGTTCTAAAATAAGCTAAAAGTATACGACTATGTGAAGTTTTAAAATATAGTACTGAAAACAGTATTATGATACACAAATGACTTCTCCCTTTTTTATTTTTATTGATTTTCTAGAGTCATGAACACGTTTCGTCTTTAAAAATTGTCTAGTCTTGCCTGTAATAGGATTACTCGATAGGAAGTGAAACCAACTCAGCCTCACAAACACTATCTAACGAGGTATTTTGTATGATCAATTAGCATCAGTACCATTTTTATTGCAAATCTACCTAGCGTTGATAAAACACATATTAGATAGATGGCCCACTAACTTAAAATGGTTGAGAGTATTTCAGTTAAAATTGTCGTAGCCTTCGAGGTTGTGTTTAAAGTGAGAGATTGGTTGTTTTTCAATAACCCGTTATTTTGATAGCTGAAATAAGAGGAGGATATATCAAATGAGCTAGTGAAATAGCATGATGAGTTTACCCAGGAGGAAAGGGTTGTAGTACTCTCTGATCGAAACCGTACGGGGTAAGCAAGTTAATGTTCTGCATGTGGTTTGAAATGAATTTGTTATGGCTTTAAGTTGTCGATTTCTACCCTGTGTTATCGATCGATTACAATGACACGCAAACACGTACGGACGGCCTAGAGTCTCGATTGGTCCCACTTCCCTGTCTAGCCCAGTCAGTTGAGTCCAGAACACAAGTCACAGCCTCGGGGATATGAAGCACTATATTTCAAACATACTTTGTTTATATACCAGTCAGGCATACCACAGCGTACCATAAAAATAGAAAACAACATTTTGTACAAGTGAACAGATATCGACCAATAGGAAATGTCCATTTAAAGTCCAAGGACACCATTGGACTTAACATGATAATTATTGGTCTATTCCTGCGCATCCACAACAGAATTGGGCTATATGCTTCAAGACAGGTGTCACCAGGGCCTCTATTCCAAAAAATCTGGTGAAGGCCGACTGTGAAGTGTACTGTCATTTGCAAAATAGTCTTGATGGTTAAATTCGTAACCTTTGTTATTGCTATTTGCATTAATGTAAACATGAAAAGGATTTACTGCACGTGACTAGAAGTAGTCACGACTGTTATTATATATGTGAGCCGTTTTTGTGTAGTGGGTTGGTACTAAAACATATGGAACGCTCTCTCACTGAGAGTAATTACAACTGTGACCCTGAGGAATGTAGTTGTGGGGTGCGAAACCTATCATCACCATGCTTATTAATGGTTTTAGGCTTTATGGAGTGAGTGGAGTGATCGGTACTTTGATAGTTTTTATTGGCCTGTGTATAAAAGGAGTCGTTACACTCAGGCCTACGACAAGTTTTGAAACTTAGAGGTGTTGATGGAAAGTTATGTGACATTAATGAGGAGAACCTCTTCATTGTTGTCGGATGACTTACGTGTTTCCCTGTTTTGTATCGTGGAGTTTATCTCCCCACTCCTTTTTGTCAGAGCTGTCGAGTTTCTTTGTCCTTTTGAGATTAATTCAAGTTCAGTTGAGCCATCATGTGGAGTACGTTTAGGGAAACTAGTGTTGTCATATGGTTCACTTTTATGTACTTTACTGCTCAAACAGCCGAAAATAGGAATGTTGTTATGCTGTTTGGTGACAGTTAGGATCCGTATCTTATCCGACGTTTTCTGATCTGCAGACTCATCTAGATCTACAGAGTGATCTGCCAGTTGTGCAGTGACATAATGCTTATTGCTCGTGCGCCTTAAACTATTTACTGTGCTGCAAACTGTCTATAGAACGTTACTTGCTATAACACTATCATGTAATCCTTTCGCTTCACGTCCTCTTGCACGACGATGACAGGGCGTTAGGTTTGGAGTGACTTTTGTTCTCTTGTATGGAATTAATGAGTTAATGCTTTTGTTCAAATCAATAAATTGTTCAACGTCATTATAACAGCTAAACTTAAACAGAACAGGGCATACCGATCTATCCGACTTTTTTCTAAGGTGAATGAGTTGGTAGATGACATTCACCATACCCCATGCTCTAAGGCGAATACCCCCTATTTCGGTGTGTGTGATCAGGGAGACTGTATGAAACTGCATTGTAAGGTGGCACCACAATTTTCGTAACTTCTTCAGGCATCAACTTTAAAATACATTCAGCTTTGGTGATTTGTTCAAGATTTTTCTCAGTATTAAGGCCTCATATATGTGTGAGGGGTGCTAAGTGGCTAAACCTACCATTAATTCTGGCTAGATAGTTTTGTGACTGACGGATATCTGAGTACGTAGTCCTTATTAAGTATTGACCGGGTTAATACTAGGATCAAAGACTATGAGTATATAATTTTTTCAAATATAAGGTGTTCAGTCATTACATGAGAGAGTAGCGATCACTTAAATGTTAATAATCCATAGATAAAAACGCGTCATTCTCAATTACTGGGGTCTTATATAAGATATGTCGGAAACGAAGTCCACGATATGTATGAAAAACTGGTAAGTGTCCGTCAAAATTGTCTTCCTGTGACAAAATGTACCCGATATATAAGATAGGATGATGAACTCAGTAAAATACAGTCTATAAAGGAAGAACTCGAAAAATTTCTTAATCACATTAAAAAATGTTACCACTTTCAAATTGAGTCGGACCTATTACTGTTGTACTATAGTCTAATTTGGTGTTAGTACCATAATAATAGACCTTATTCCAAAATCGTAGATTCGTCATGATATGACTACCTAATCTATAAGATCTTAAGTGGAAGTCACATCATTTTCTATACCGACTTCTCCTATCGTGATAGTTGACACTTTTATGTTTAACACCTCTCAAGGACACCCTTCGTCTGTGCATAAAATGATGCATTTGATATGAATAGGAGTAATTTACTCGGCTTCAAGAATCGTGTTGTTGAGATCCAGTACCACTATAGAAGAACACGTATCAACAGGTCTGAAAGAAGGGTACCCTACCAAAATACTGGAGGCTCTTGGTGAGTGTGGGAACTATGAGGGGACTAAACTGCTATCAGTACTAGGTGAAGCTTTCAACAGAGTGTTGTTGAACCGAATGAGAGATTCAGTAGACGCTCAGCTTCGAAATCATCAAGAAGGATACCCCAAGGATCGATCAAGTGCTGACCGAATCGTGAACGGAACTCGTCACAATACACCAACTTCCTTGACTATGAGTAAGCATTTGACTGAGTGGAAAGGAAAACATTATGAAAACCTTTCCCCACACTATTGTCAACGTAATACGGAATTCTTATGACAGACTACAATGCAAAGTCGTGCATAGAGGACATCTGACAGACGCGTTCTGAGGCAGGACCAGTGTCAGACAAGGCTGCTTACCCTCGTCATCCCTCTTTTTTCTGGTGGTTAACTGGATTAAGGAAACCTCCACATATCAGGGGAAAACACAGAAAGCCATGTACACCCTATATGAGGCTAGACGATTTAGGCTTTTGAGATGACCTTGCCATTCTATATCAAATGTAGATGGACCCATCCAATGTAGAATTAGTCTCTGCAGTGGTTAGTTTCAACATATACAAGGGTGAAGAAAGATCATATAATGCAGCACAACTAGCAACAACCAAGGCGCGTTTGATAGAGAAGTTTTGGTAGAGGTGGGAACTTTCACACACCCGGGTAGCATCATTGATAAACAAGGAGAATCTTAAGCAGCTGTAAAGGTATGGATTGGCAAAGCAAGGGCAGCATCCCCACAGTTGAATAATGCCTTGAACTCAAAACAACTGCCAACCAACCATAAAGACAGAATTTTCAATATGAATGTCAAGACAGTTAAATTGTATATGGGTGAATCTTGGGGATTTACCACAGTCATCATCAAAAAGGTACAAATATTTAGGAACAGATGCTTACGCAAGATATCTGTTGGGCAGACACCATCGACAATAGCCTATTGTGACGGAACAAACCAACTTCCAACTGAAGAGAAAATCAGAAAAAGACGCTATCGGTAGACGAAACACACTTTTCGGAAATCCTCAAACCACATCACGAGACATGCTCTGGGTTGGAATTTTCCGGGCAAAAGTAAGAAAGGCAGATCAGAGAACACATTGCGCCGGGAATCAGAAGTAGAGATCAAAAGAATGAACAGAACTTAAGAGGAACTGAAAATAAGACCTAAAAACAGCGTTGGGTGAGGAGTCCTGGTTGGTTACTTATGCTCCTGGAAAAGTAACATGAGTGAAAAAAATTATGGTCAATGAACATTTTTACAACATTTAAGTTTGATCATCTTGAACTTACCGCTTCGGGATGGGTATATAAAACACTGAGGCTAAAGCACCAATAATTTTGCGGGTGTTTGACCTTCATCCCTAACTTCAGGTGATGCTATTAGGCCGAATGTCTAATCTCATACCTAAGTGATTATGATTTATCGCTTTTACCGCAGGGTGTAGGTGCATCCCTAAATGCTTAATGTGTTGTTGATTAACTTTCCATCTTGTTCTATTCTTTAAATCCCCTCACATGTATATGCGCTTGTAAGCGTACGCTGCTCAGCTGAGCAGCATGCTCTTACAACACACAACATATAACAAGGCTAGACTCAGACCACTGCATATTTAGATCTCACTTGGGGATTCACTCCCAGGCATCTGATAGGGCTTCACATCAATGTATATAAAATGAACAACTACAAAAATTACTAAACCGCACCTGTACGGGTAATGTGTAATCTCCGGAATAATAATTTCAATCATCCAGATTACTGTAGACACTAGTATCACAACCTGACATAATTTAAATTATTTCACAATTGTGGTAGTTTAAACTATCGGAAGCTTTTAAGATAATGTTACGTATGACTGATAACCAGCCGCTGTTCTAACTAACAATGAAGTTTATTTTTTCCAGGTTCTAACATTCGTATCACAGAAGGGAGCTTAAAATGTTCTTCCTGTATTCTGGGTCAAAAATTTTGGGAGCACAGGCTATTACTAAGAACATACGTAAATTCTTGGGTACTGCAGTTGAGCCTATTTTGAAGCCAGAAATAAAGCGAAACTCGGTATATTTTGATTTATGAAGTGTAACCTGAAGTTTAAATTAGATTTTCATCAACAATGAGTGGGTAGAGTCATCTAGTGGAAAAACCTTCAACACTATAAATCCAGCAACTGGTAAAGTAATATGTCAAGTTTCGGAAGGTGATAAGGTAACGCTTGTCTACCTTTAGTATTTCAGAATTTTTCATTTTTCAACTTTTCAAACTAATGAGTGTATATATCTTGGCGAATGGTCACTTCTTTAATCACGTTAAGTTATATGACATAAGCGGTATCTATAATATGTATAACCATTCTGCCCGTCGCTAATCCTCGGTTAATGAAAAAAGTATTTCTTTCAGCATGACATCTAATTCCATTCGGTTATAACTCCTTTTATAGAAATGACGACCTTCATATTTATTTATTTATTTGAAAATAAATATTGGCACAAAGGGGCACCGAATACATATGTGCCACTCAAGTCACTTGATTGTTATGTGGGCTGTGATACTGCCCGGGTTCACAGACTGCACCGGGTGGTTTCCTTAGGGGGGCACACTCAGACCCTTCGACCTAAAGGTCTGATCCACAAGGCAGTGAGGCAACGTTAGGAGATGCAGTCCCATGATAGCAAGTGACCAATAATTGGTTCATACACCATTTGTTCCCTCAGGATACTGGAACCCATGTGCACCATTGGTTTGGAACCAGGGTTTTCCAATTCCCCTAGTTGCATCTTCCGTATCCACCAACCTGGTTAAAGCGTCGAACTATCGGGCGTACCAACTCGATTTCTATAGATAGATGATTGATATGTTGTTCATTATATATATATATATATATATATATATATATATATATATATATATATATATATATATGGCGTTTTGCTACTTTTTAGCTTACCAATTTGTCAGTGTTACTTGATGTTTTTAACAGGTAGCGACTACAAAAAACCTTTAATTGTAATGAAGTGACACTTTATTTATTTCATTGCACTTCACTAACCCTAGTGTATGTTCTTGTGTAGTCTTTTGAATATATACCTTTATACCGGAGTTGAGATTTTGATTCGGTTGTTAACCCTAGTGTTTTTTATGCCATGGCTACTGCGTAAAATTGATCGACGTACTAGTTATGTATTTACTACATTTAGATTTTTTGTTATGGTGACCAGTTTCTGCTTGCAGGTTATAAAATTGCTTTCAGTCACTCATCTTGATATTATGCTTTTTCTCAATTCTGGTGTAAGTGATTTATAATCTCCCAAATTTTTGTTTTATGCAGTGTTAGAAAGACTTATTGAATACATTTTATTTCTAAACTGTTTGATGTATTATTTTTGAAAAAATATTGTTCTGTGATGACGTTATTTTAATTTTATTAGCTTATTGAAAAACTTCATTAACTGAGCCTTAATTAACCAAGTATTTACAATAAATATATATTTGATATATCTAAATGAATAGAAAAAATACATATAACAAGAATATATGTATTATTAACTTTCTACCCAATACTCAATTTATTTTAAATTATCAAGTACAAGCTTGGGATTTATACCTATAAACACGTATTTATAAGCATTAGTGTTAATGTTAAACTGATGATCATATTTTTGCTTTTAATGACTAAACTTTTACTTCTCTACGTTTCGTTCTTCATACAGGTTGACATAGATAAAGCAGTTAAAGCAGCTCGTAAAGCCTTCGAATTTGGTTCCGAGTGGCGTACCATGGATGCATCACATCGTGGTGTATTACTTCACAAACTGGCTGATCTTATTGAACGTGACAGAGTTTATTTGGCTGTAAGTGTTTGTACACTTAGCAATAACTTTTCAAGTTACTGTGTACACTGGGATGGAGTTGGAACAAATTGATTTCTGTTCCCAGCCTTCAAATTTCTGAATGTACTAAAATTTATATATTGCTTGTGATTTTCCTTACGAATTTATTAATGGTGAATGAGCACTATTTCTAAAATGCACCATGGTTAATCGAAAATGTATTTATGTCATAGTTTTCCATTGGATGCTTCTTCTGATAGTTTATTTACTAATTTTTTAAAGACTCACATAATCTAAAAGTTAATCGATAAATAAACAAGACAGTTCAGTGTTATGTGCTATGTGCAATGAGATATTTCGTTATTGCATACTATGTAAAAATGACATTAATAATTAAAGGTCGTAAATGTCATGACTTGATCAGACTGGAGCAGATATGTTCATTCTTTAGCTTCCACGTTTTGGACATTACTGAGTTTACTTATTTCTCCTTCTGTTCTGGATATGGTGTTTTGATTTCATTAAGCTTGTTTAGGTTGTTGACAAGGTGAATAAATCACTGATAGATAGGTTATACAGGAAGAGATCACATGGTCTAATCATAATAATTTCTTAAGAAAATAAGCAAGCTCTTGGATGCGAAAAACCTGATCAGACAATCAGGTTTTTCTGTCAGTCAATCAGTCTTGTTTTCTCAGCAATACTGTTCTTTTTCTTTCCCTGTTATTTTAAAGTGTGTAAATGTGAACTAGTGAACTTCGACACCAAACCTCTACGTTGGTCAATGTACTTGAATGTGCATATTCTATTGTTAGTTAATTTTTTATTTTATTTATGTAACCAACATCCATTACATATGTTTATTTCTATCCAATCTCCTTATTGTTTTAGTCTTTGGAAACACTGGATAATGGGAAACCATTTGCTGATTCATATAATATTGATCTAGATTTAGTGATCAAATGCTACAGGTTAGTGATTAAAATACTTTCCATCTTGTTGATTTTATTGTATGTTTCCGTTTCATGTTTGCAATTTGTATGGTAATCTGTCCACAAAAAGCATGTTGATGATTTTGTCTGTCAATCTGGACCTTTACACTTAATTGTCCTTTTATTTTCAGTGTGCTCGACATTTCACTACTATGAGCACAAAATATCGTTCCATACTTTCTGAAAATAGTGGAGAGTTTATGTATATACTTAGCATTTAATCTGGTGTTTCATTATGATTTGTTTACTAAGTGAAAAAATATACAACCCATCAGTAAAATAGATAAATTATGGCTAGCAGTGGGATGCAGATAGCGTGTCGTTTCTTCCTATTTTGAACTAACCGGTAGGATGTATTTACCTCATCTCAATATTGGTGTTCATGCTAGTGCTCGGACCCATCGCCTTTCGCTTAAAAAGCCTAACACGTTATTCCATTGAGCTACTAAGTTCAGAGAGTCAGTAACTTGTTCAAAGAGTATGATGTTCATATCATGATTAGGAAAGGTTCGATTTATTCCATTCTTAATATTCTTTACCGATCGTTCTAGCAGGGAAACGTTCTATACAGGATAGAACATACGTCCTGGATTTCATTGTTAGCTACAGTGGTGCAGGTGCATTCGCTCTTTGTTTTCTTTCAAGTTTTACGTTTCTAAACTACTTTATATACCTTTTTATTCCAGCAGTTCATATTTCCTTCATGAATAATATCCTCTATGCCTCTATGTCTTTCGTATTTCCGCTAATAACATTACTACATCTACTACTCTGGGATTCTCTCTGACAATGTCATTTAGGTGTGTTAATGTGGTATGGTAACTTAAAATGATGTACACGTGTTAAATTCTATGCTGCATATATCTGACTATTCTAAAATGACTTGTTATAAAATAACGACTGATCGAAAATCAATCGAGATTATCAACGATGGGATCCTTCAAATCCTTTGTAACAATGATATAACCCATTACTATCTATTAGAAAATATTATCTAATAGTCTCTGTGTTTTTTTTTACTCGAGTTACTTGGAATTCAATCACTCGGTTACGAGTTTGAATCTCATTCTATTTATTACAGTTATAATTTCATACATAAACTCCTATGTATTTTTGTAAGGTCGTCACAACTATACCAACAACAACCAACACAGTATTCAAGTTTTATTATTTCTGTCACTGTTTTTGTAGGGCTTTAAATTTTATAATTATAATGAATTCCTAAATCATTTAGTCTACCAATTGTTTATAGTTCTTGTGTAAGTCTGCTAAGAATTGTGCATTACATTAAACCTATAAATATCACTATTATTATTGTTATTAGTATTATCATTAGTTAGTTAGCTAGTGTAGGTTCATAATAATGGAAGGATTTCACTGATAGTTTTTTTCTATTCACGTTAGTTGTAAAAAAAAACTATGAACTTAAGCATTTTCTAAAGTATTTCTGTATTTATTTATTTATTTTAACACAGATATTGTTACAAGGCGGCACAAAATAGATATGCGCCACATAAAACTCATTTGATATATGTGAGGGCTGTGATACTGCACGGGTGCCCAAACCGAAGCAGTTGGTTTTCTTAGGGGGCCACACCCGTAGCCTTCGACATGAAGGTCTGATCCACAAGGCAGTCTCATGGAAGCCGGTGACCAACGATTGGTTCATACGCCATTTGTTCCCTCAGGATACTGGAACCCATGTGCACCATTGATTTGGAATGAGGGTTTTCCAACTCCCCTATGTGGACCCTCTGTGCCTATGAATCCGGTTAAAGCGCCGGATATTCGCTTTTCGTCCTCCCATTTTCGTAAACAACATCCCCGCTACGAGAAAACAGTGAGTAGGACTTCCTTGGCAGAGGCTGTATACGCGTGGCCGCGTGAGAGCATTTCAAGAGGGAGAGCTGACTCTCCCCACTCTCGGTCGTACCAGGGCATTTGGAGGCTGTGATTATAGTCAGTCAGTCAGTCAGTCATTGGTATGATGATACTTTTCAATTCTTTATTGGTTAAGTTGTTTAGAGACAAGATTACATTGATCTAGTGGTCTTGTCTATTTTTTTCGGTATAAAATAAAGCCACTTTATACGTGCATTTAACTTCTGATGTAATAGTGATACTCGGTGTAATAAAATCAAATAATTTATACAAATGTTCGTCAATATTAGAATGAAAAGTTTGACATCGATTGGGCAACAAATACAGACAAGTCATTATATCTGAAAATTATATTTGAAATAATCTCAGAGATTAAAATTTACAATAATTCCAACGTTTCGTCCAACAAACTTATCTGAACTTCTTCAGGGTAATAATCAAAATCATCAAAGAAAAATATATATAATGCTTAACAATCAAATCAAATCTTTACTGTGCTAATCCGATCATATTTGGATGTTGACCTTAGTAAATAGGACAACATAAGTCAGTTATATGCGAATCATATGAAAAGATCACAGTGTGAAAATAAATGAATGGATGATTGTGTGTGTATGGAATTAAAAACTATATGGAATTCAAGAATAATATCGATATCATCCATATGGAATAGGATGAAATGATGACAAGTTTTGATGTATCTTCCTTATTTACTACCGTACCAGTTAATAGAGCATTGGATATTATTGTTGTTTAGAATCTAACTCAGATTCAAATTCACGATGCTCGTTAGATCCAACCAAATTTATTAAATGCTTGGAATTGTGTTTACGATCCACCTTATTATGACTTCGAGGAGAACTTTACAAACAAAACGAAGGTGCAGCAATGAGTTCACTAGTTTCTCCGATTGTAGCGAATCTATTTATGCATTTCCTAGAAACCAGTGCAATTGTAGTGAACAAGAACACGAGTGGGGACAATCGAATGTACTTGACACGAAATTACAGAGCATCTCAATAAAATCTGAGAATCGTTAATTTGCAAAATATCAATGCATCGTCTCAAACTTCACTGTTCTTTTTGTAAATATCGATTCATGGTCTCAGATTCCACTGTTCATGTATTTTCATACCGACTGCGTTCCGTTTCCGTCCTTTCCTTGTCGATCTTCTGCTAAAATACATTTTATGCCTGAACACCGTTATATACTACTTATATGGATATAAATAATCCACACCACACGATCACAAGATGTGTTTGTCCACCAAAAGTTTGATTACGGCATGTAGATAACATTATTATTATTATTAAACTAAATAGTTTAGAAGAATTGTTTGAAAATATAAACAGCATTTCAGATAGCATCAAGCTTACAATGGAAATAGAGTCCAATGACTATAAACTAGCGTTTCTCGATTGTTTGGTTGAACGAAGACATAATAAGTTGAAAATAAATGTATTCAGAAAATCAACACATTCTGAGAGATACTTAGAATACGGTTCATGCGTATTGTACGAAAATCACAATTGTAAAAAGTTTAATTACCGGGAGTATTAATCTCATTACAGATAAGGAAGACCAACAGGCTGAATTTAATGGAGCTTTGTCTACGCTTAGGGATAGCAATTAATCCAAAGAGTTTTTAGAGAAGATTATTACAAATGAAAGAAAAACTAAACTAGACTGTATACCGAAAGATTGGAAGTCCACCGTGGTCATCTCATACCGTAGTGAAACATCGGAAGAAATCAAGAGAATTTCATGTGAGCATGATATAAGTGCATTTTCGGGCTTGTGACACCATAAGATCAGCATTAGTGAAGGTTGAGGATAGATTTCAAAAGCAAGAACAACAGAATGTTTTCCATGAGATCGACTGTCATGCAGCGTATGTGAGAGAAACTGCAAGACAATTGAATGTGAAGTCGAAGGAACATAAAAAGTGTTTCAAAAATGCTCCCAAATCCTCGACTGATCAAAAGAAACTTGAAAATAGGTCGGCGATAGCGTTACATATGTTGGAAACAGGATGCAAGATTAATTTTGAAGGGACCAAAATACTTCAGAAAGGTTTTAACACTCATAAAGAAACATTGACAGCAGAAGCGCTGTATAAGTGGGCACATAAGAACAACCTGAACGAAAAGGATGATATTCAACTAGCAACTACTTTGCAAATATTCTTTAACAAGTAATTGGACCCTTTCTCTACATCAAAACTTGTCATCATTTCATCCTATTCCATATGGATGATATCGATATTATTCTTGAATTCCATATAGTTTTTAATTCCATACACACACAATCATCCATTCATTTATTTTCACACTGTGATCTTTTCATATGATTCGCATATAACTGACTTATGTTGTCCTATTTACTAAGGTCAACATCCAAATATGATCGGATTAGCACAGTAAAGATTTGATTTGATTGTTAAGCATTATATATATTTTTCTTTGATGATTTTGATTATTACCCTGAAGAAGTTCAGATAAGTTTGTTGGACGAAACGTTGGAATTATTGTAAATTTTAATCTCTGAGATTATTTCAAATATAATTTTCATATAAAATGAAATGAATCATAATATAAAGTAATTTTAATGATGAGTTCAGTGTTATGTGTTGCGATTGATCATCAAAGTGCTATATGCTATCTGCCAATTGTATCTTTCTCAGATGATACTTCTAGCACATTCTCAAATCATAGTGTAGATACACACAACTGTATTTAATAACTCAGTTGAACTAAATATTTAAAACATATTCAGAGAATGACAATATTGCCATTCTTTGTAAACTTTTTTTCCTGTTTGTAAGACAGAAGAAATTATTTATTAACTTTAAGCTTTCATTTGAATGGATGTACTAACATATTTCAAGCTGCTGACAAAAATGCTCACTATAGTACAGAACGAAGTGTTACGATACGACAATTGATTTCAAGTACTTATTCTCACAGTTCATGTTTTATTCAGAAGGTTCCAGTATTCAGTTTTAAATCAAAGTAGAATTGGTTGCTATAATAGATTCTTTTATGTTAAGACCAGATGCGATATTTTATCATAATTGTAGTAGCATGATCTCTACTCTAGTCAATCTTGTGCTTGTAAATATCAGTTTTGTTTACATGTTTTATCGAAGTATTATGACTTAAGAAGATAAAAATAATGGCACACACCAAATGGCATATGGACGGGTTAAAAATGGACTTTTTAAGGCTTTGTACAGTTGGTTATATCAAACTTCATTGTTTTTACAACTTAATAATAAACATTTTTTTATAGGTATTATGCTGGCTGGGCAGATAAATATCATGGGAAAACTATACCTGTCAATGGAAACTATATGTGTTTCACTCTTCATGAACCAGTTGGTGTTTGTGGACAAATTATACCGTGGAATTTTCCACTTCTTATGCAGGCATGGAAGCTCGGTCCAGCATTAGCAATGGGAAATACAGTGGTAATGAAGACAGCAGAACAAACCCCGTTGTCTGCAAATTGGGTAGCTGAATTAATCAAAGAAGCCGGATTCCCACCTGGTGTAGTGAACATTGTTCCAGGGTAAAGAAATTTTTTAATCGACTCACCCAATTTTTCAATGCTTTTTTTCTAATTAAGGATGTTTCTGTAAATAGGTTGGTAGACTTTAACGGTGTTGTGTTATCTGAGCCAGGTTGCAAAGTTTTTATTGTCTTTCTGGACAACATCAGCGCATGATTCACATATAAGTAAGATTGCCAACTATTCTAAAGTTGTTGAATTAGTTCGTTCCGATGGCTTTAATTGTGATTGGATATCTCCGTAGATTTTGTTGTTTTTACTTGTTCGTGCATTCATGTTGATTGTTTTTTCGGTTGAATTTCAACTTATTTGGTTAATATATACTCAAGAATAGTTGAAGGCAACAAAACTTATGAGGATATCTAGTCACAAACAAGGTTATCAAAGCAAACCAATTGGACACTTGCAGAATAGTCGTTCACTTCTTTATGAGATAGACGTTGACGATATTATTCAGAGCGACAGTAAACGCCTTGAAATCAAACTATCTGACTCAGACAACATAAAATTATCAAAAGCATTCAAATGAGCTGCGAATTCAATTTTCCAAAGATTGATAGGTTTTATTTAAAGGTCGTCTCAAAACTCAGTGAGTAATTGATTTAGGTACTATAGAGAACGTATAAACTTCGTATGGGCTTGAATTAAGAGTTTTTAGTGTGATGTAATTACTGTAAAAATGGACAGTTTATTTTTGGGGATCAAAAAACTTTGAATCTACATTTCACTCTAGTTGACATTATTCAGTACGGCGTAACTGGGATTTCATTCGTAGTAAAGATTTCTATGGTGATAATTTTTTTCAGTAAAATTGGTTTACATGTATATTTTTGCCCAGCAGTTCGATTCGTGTAATATCATTATCTGATAAGAACTTTCTTCAAAGTGTTTACCATCATCTCCACTTCGAATTGTGTGTATAATAATTTATAATTGAGAGTAAAGAGAATCAAGTTACATACAATCACTTATCGGCTCCTTGAAAGCATTCTAATGGCGTATGTAATCATCAGAAAGATAAGTAAAACAGCCACGAAGATTGATCGATTGTATGCTTATGCGTATATATTATTCCAATTAGTTACCTTGGTGGATGTGGGTTCAATTCATCAGTTGCTAATTTTATTTGTGTAAGTTAAGTTGGTTGAGATGACCAAGACTACCAGTATATCGAGAAATAATAATATTAAACAGACAATTTTGAAAATCGATACTACTATCAAATACACTTTCATAGTGTGATATGGTTTTCGCTAACAACGATTACTCTAATGACACTTCAATTCAGGATATGACAGCTTCTTTACCTTTTAACCACGACTACTCTACAACGGAAGTCCTTTAAGAAAGTTATATTGATAAGGAACACAGAAGATCCAAATTACATTCGAGTTTATTTAGTTATATAATAATGATTATTTTTACAGTTTAAAATGTGAAGTGATTATAGCTAGACTATCATTGAAAGCGAAAAAGCACTGGATGTCTGTCTGAGACTCAGTCACGTTGGACATCCAAGACTTTGTATCGGGGAATTGAACTATTATAACTGGCGTAATTTTACGTTGCACGATCGCCTCATTGATGTTTTCACTTTTATATTTGAGTTTCCTGAACATTCGTGAAGCGTTTGTGCGCTAAGCTACTATTACGGAACTCGAATTTCTGTAGATGGGACAAGACTTCTTATATTCTCTTCTTCCCTAATCTACTAACTAGATTAATAAATCAAGTTTCCTTGTAGAAGCCATGTTAATCTAGACCCCAGTAGAATAATATTGCATTTGGCTCCGTCAAGTAAATATACCGATTGCAATGATTAGAATTTGTGGATTGATAATTTTAGCTGAACACAAATCATAGTGAAAATGTGTTGCAAGTTCATAAAATAGCCAGTCAGTCCGCTACAGCGTAGGACCAGGCACGTATGTGCATCGGTCCAAGTCTCCATACCTCATTAACACAGCAAGATGAACACCGGATTCATAGAAGTAGTTAATTTAGTGGTGGTAATATATAAAAGAAAGATTGCAATAAGGATATAGTATTGGAAGAAAGAATTGGTTTGTAGAAAGAAAGATATAAAGCGATTTTAATCTCTTAGTTTAAGGGAAGACAGAGAGTGTATAGACCGATGCCATTGTGATCAATTCTGAGCCATGTCACCTACAGTCTCCAAACATTTGTTACGATAGTCACGCGGACCCAAACCAAGTAGTCTGCATCTCCCAACATGGCTCAGACTAACAGTTAGTGACTTCAAGCACTGATGCCACGTCATAAAATAGTATGAGAAAAATGTTTTGCAATTCGACCTTACATTCACCTTAAATTGATTTTGATTCTTTTTCTTATAAATTGTATGTTTATGCGGATTCTACATGCCTAAAATCTGGTTATTGTAGAAACTATTTTAAGTTTCTAAGTTGAATCATTCATTTTCTTATCACTGTTACATGGATTGTACTGGTTTTCTAAGGTTTTACCTAGTTTCTTTTACATACGTGATATTCACGAGTTTGCAGGTCTAATGCTATTTTCTATCAAGAGTATAACTCGTTTACAGAGTTTAGGTTTATCTATCTTGTTTTAACCTACAGTTTATGTAAAGGTTAGTCATAATGCCCGACTACTCAAACTAAAGTGGGTGGACTTTTGACCAAGTTTTATTTAATATACAATTCAATCACTAAATAGAGTACCCATAAACAATGTTTATGATGATGGTAGTTTCAACAATTCAGTCACTGGTAGATAGATTTAATCGAATAATGTCATTTGTACAATAAGTGGTTGATGAATATTATTATTATTATTTGAATACATAAATATTGGTACAGGAGGGCACCAAAAATATATGCGCCCCACAAAACGATGAGAATTTGCAGAGAAGGAAATAAAGGTAAGGAGTGTAAAAAAGCGATAACGAACAGATTAGTGTAAGGTAGTGTAATAATAATAATGGGGGAAACAGAAACGTACACTCAGAAGAGATCTTTCAGTTAAGGAAGAAGCAACCACTTTTTATGAAGAAAGTAAAAGGTTACAGCAGGATCGCTACTAGCTTCTATTCTGAGCCATATCTGATAACGTCTCTACTCGAGAGCGTTTAGATAGAACCGAATTTCCACCATAGGCGAGCTGCTGTATAAGTCGAAAAATAAGGATAGACAGAGTAGGAATAAAAGAGAGTGAATGAATGACGTAGTAAATAATAACAATAGTAATAATAATAATGTGAATCATTTGATTGTTAGTTGAAGCAAGAAAAGTATTTTCCATAATCATCGGCACTTCATCATATTTGTGTGTGGGCTGTGATACTGCTCGGATGCCCAGACCGAAGCAGATGGTTTTCTTAGGGGGCCACTCCCCGAGCCTTCGACCTGAAGGTCTGATCCACAAGGCAGTGGGGCATCGTGAGGAGATGCAGTCCCATGGAAGCCGGTGACCAACAATTGGTTCATACGCCAATTGTTCCCTTAGGATACTGGAGCCCATGTGCACCATTGGTTTGGAATCCGGTTAAAGCGCCGGACATTCGCTTTTCGTCCTCTCATTTTTGTAAACACCCGTGGTGCGAGAAGGCAGTAAGTAGGACTTCCCTGGTAGAGGTTATATACGCGTGGCCATGTGAGAGCATTTCGAGAGGGAGAGCGGACTCTCCTCACTCTCGGCCGTACCAAGGCATTTGGGGGCCTCTCAAAATACTCCTATAAACTCATGTGTTTATAGCCACAGACTGCTCACATCGGGCGTGTTGTTTACGAAATTCGGAAGATGAAAACGAAATCTCCAACGGAGGCATAAACTGCATTGGTGTGTACGAAATATCGACATGGAAGATTCCAAACCAATGGTACAAATGAGCTCATGGTTCCTAAGGGAACAAACGGCTTATGAATCTATTATTTATCACCATCTACCATGAGACCGCATCTCGTGAAGTTGCTTCAATGTCTTGTGGATTAGATCTCTAGGTCAAATGGGTGAGGAGTGGCCCTCTAAGAAAGCCATCTGTTTTGATTAAGGCTATTGAACAGTATCCCATCCCTCGCAAAAATCCGGTGTGACGCATATATATGTTGATTCCCCTTTTTACCAATGTTAATATGTTCAAGCGTATTTCTCTCATTTCACTATCCACTTTTTACCTGTTTATTTCTCAACAATTTCGATCAGATTTGGTGAAACTGCTGGTAACGCCCTAGTCGTTCATCCTGATGTTGATAAAATTGCGTTTACTGGTTCAACAGCTGTAGGACAATTGATTGGTCAGAATGCTTATAAACATGGTGTGAAACGAATTACTTTAGAACTTGGCGGAAAGAGTCCATTAATTATTTTCAGTGATGGTGATTGTAAGTTGTATTGTAAATAAGTTTTTTTTTAACCTTTGTAGTTGTAGATCGTCTTTCCCACTGAATTGAAATAATTTAATTTGTACAGTTGTATCCGTGCTCATTGTACTATTATTTTCTAGTCAAAGATGATTCCTCATTATCGGTCCAAATAAAAAAAAAACTGAAAAGTATTGAACCGGTTTTTCATCCTAATTTGAAGCTTGTCAATATTACACATACATGTGCTCTATTTTTGCCTTGATAGGATGAAAACTGCTGTCATTAATAAAACAAAAATGTGTCCAAAAGGTGAAATTGATGAACTCGATCTCAATTTCGATAGACGTCAAGTTTATATATCACTGTAGTAAATTGTATTACAGAAAGGGAAGGCATATCCAAAACTTCCTCTGTATCGTCAGGAAGAGTTCAATACAAAATGCAGGTATCAGAGTCATTAGAATAACGCATCAACAATTGTATGAAGTTTCGAGTTCTCGGGACGTTTATATACATGTAAATAATCAATGGTTCTACGACAAATAACAAGTATCGATAGAACAATGAGAAGACGTAGTTGATCTGAAAAATGTGATGTATTTGCGCTATACATTTCGAACAATCTGGTCACACATATACTTGTCAAGGCATTTTTATATGAAAATTAATAAAGGTCAATAAAGGTCAAACAAACAAATAAAAGTACAATTAAAATAACTAAGGGGAGAGAAAGAATAAGAAATTGTCGCGTTATCCTAGGCCATAGAATGACTTAAGGATTACCAAGGTAAATTCAAGGTTACGACAAATTGTTTTTGTACACATAAGGGGGGTTTAAATTTACGAATAGCTAAGGCTTCAATAAACTTAAGAATTCGACCTTGACAATTTCTATACAACATTCTAAATGCTGTATTAATGTTAATTTTGTGCCCCGTCTCAATTATGTGTTTTGCTATTGATGAACTTGGTTTTCTACCTCCTACATTGATCGGATCATTTGACACACACTGATTTTGAAGCCATCTGGGTACATGTTCATTGACCCTTGATTGCATTGTTCGATTACTCCTCCCTATGTATGTGTGTCCACACAAACATGTAAATTGGTAAATACAATGGGATGTGACGTAATCATTGGTGCATTGTTTGGTTCTATTATGAATCATGGCCTTAGACTTTTCAATCACTACCAACCGAGCAGCATAATACGTATTCTCAATGGCTGCTTTCAATCTGTGCCTTAAAACTATACTGTTTGATTCGCCTCTATATGGTAGATTGATATAAACCTTTTTCTTTGGCACTGAATAAATTAGAGGTCTTGGCATTAATTGACTTTTGCACCTATTAATAAACTTGAGTGGATAACCATTTGCTATTAACGTGTCAGTCAGTAACTTTTCGTCTTTTTCCACCATATCAGAGGTACATATTCTTCGAGTCCTCTTAAAGAGGCACTTAACTAGACCTCTCTTGTATTGCAATGGACAGAAACTATGGAAATTTAGGTATTGTCCCGTCCAAGTTGGTTTCCTATACACGGACCGTCTAATAGTGCCATCATCCCTTCGACTTAAAAGTATGTCTAGAAAGGCTAATTGGCCGTTACTTTCTGGTTCATGTGTCATCACAATATCATTTTGAACACCATTGAGTTTATCCAGTAATCGGTAAACATCAAAATCCTTATCACATATAATTAGAATATCGTCCATATACCTTCTATATAGAGTTGTCTCACCAATGAGGTCGCTCGTCATATTTTCCACATATGACATGAATACCTCAGCTAAGAGAGGCCCTAAAGGGCTACCCATAGCTACACCATCAACTTGTCGGAAATATTCACCATCAAATGTAAATTGAACATTAGCTGTACATAATAAAAGTAAATCTTTCAAAAATGGTGACGGAATAGGAAAAAGGGGAAAGTTTTTAGAAATATAGTCACAAAGGAAATCCACCGTCTTTGTTAACGGTACATTCGTGAAGAGGGAGTTTACATCAAATGAATGCAAAGATTTATCTTTAATATTAATATCACCAAGAAAGTCAATTAGTTCAAATGTATCTTTTAAAGAGAACTTACATAGATTAGCACGAATAGGGTTTAACAGTTTTACTAACCATTTCGCTAGCTCGTGTGTGGGAGAACCACGCATAGACAAAATTGGTCGTAATGGAATATTAGGTTTATGAATTTTAGGTAATCCATATAAATTCGGGAGAACTGAACCCGAGGGTTTTAGTATATTAAACTCCTCGTTGTTAATGACGTTCATTTTAAGAAGCTTTAATAGATTGGACTTCACTCTGGATTCCAATTTTCTAACATTAATATTAGAAGAAACGTCCTGTAAGAATTTACTTTGATCACCCAGTATAGATAACATTTTGTCTTTATATTCACATTTATTGATAACGACCATCCCAGAACCTTTGTCAGGTCTGAGGATCACAATATCTGACCTACTTTGGAGGTTTTTTAACGCAGCGGAATGTTTAGGAGTCAAAATACTTCTTTGTCTGACTTGAGATCCGTGAAAGTGGTGAGCAACGTCAACCAATTTCATTACCAACGAGGTGTTTAATATACTAAAACCCTCGGGTTCAGTTCTCCCGAATTTATATGGATTACCTAAAATTCATAAACCTAATATTCCATTACGACCAATTTTGTCTATGCGTGGTTCTCCCACACACGAGCTAGCGAAATGGTTAGTAAAACTGTTAAACCCTATTCGTGCTAATCTATGTAAGTTCTCTTTAAAAGATACATTTGAACAAATTGACTTTCTTGGTGATATTAATATTAAAGATAAATCTTTGCATTCATTTGATGTAAACTCCCTCTTCACGAATGTACCGTTAACAAAGACGGTGGATTTCCTTTGTGACTATATTTCTAAAAACTTTCCCCCTTTTCCTATTCCGTCACCATTTTTGAAAGATTTACTTTTATTATGTACAGCTAATGTTCAATTTACATTTGATGGTGAATATTTCCGACAAGTTGATGGTGTAGCTATGGGTAGCCCTTTAGGGCCTCTCTTAGCTGAGGTATTCATGTCATATGTGGAAAATATGACGAGCGACCTCATTGGTGAGACAACTCTATATAGAAGGTATATGGACGATATTCTAATTATATGTGATAAGGATTTTGATGTTTACCGATTACTGGATAAACTCAATGGTGTTCAAAATGATATTGTGATGACACATGAACCAGAAAGTAACGGCCAATTAGCCTTTCTAGACATACTTTTAAGTCGAAGGGATGATGGCACTATTAGACGGTCCGTGTATAGGAAACCAACTTGGACGGGACAATACCTAAATTTCCATAGTTTCTGTCCATTGCAATACAAGAGAGGTCTAGTTAAGTGCCTCTTTAAGAGGACTCGAAGAATATGTACCTCTGATATGGTGGAAAAAGACGAAAAGTTACTGACTGACACGTTAATAGCAAATGGTTATCCACTCAAGTTTATTAATAGGTGCAAAAGTCAATTAATGCCAAGACCTCTAATTTATTCAGTGCCAAAGAAAAAGGTTTACATCAATCTACCATATAGAGGCGAATCAAACAGTATAGTTTTAAGGCACAGATTGAAAGCAGCCATTGAGAATACGTATTATGCTGCTCAGTTGGTAGTGATTGAAAAGTCTAAGGCCATGATTCATAATAGACCCAAACAATGCACTAATGATTACGTCACATCCCATTGTATTTACCAATTTACATGTTTGTGTGGACATACATACATAGGGAGGAGTAATCGAACAATGCAATCAAGGGTCAATGAACATGTACCCAGATGGCTTCAAAATCAGTGTGTGTCAAATGATCCGATCAATGTAGGAGGTAGAAAACCAAGTTCATCAATAGCAAAACACATAATTGAGACGGGGCACAAAATTAACATTAATACAGCATTTAGAATGTTGTATAGAAATTGTCAAGGTCGAATTCTTAAGTTTATTGAAGCCTTAGCTATTCGTAAATTTAAACCCCCCTTATGTGTACAAAAACAAATTGTCGTAACCTTGAATTTACCTTGGTAATCCTTAAGTCATTCTATGGCCTAGGATAACGCGACAATTTCTTATTCTTTCTCTCCCCTTAGTTATTTTAATTGTACTTTTATTTGTTTGTTTGACCTTTATTGACCTTTATTAATTTTCATATAAAAATGCCTTGACAAGTATATGTGTGACCAGATTGTTCGAAATGTATAGCGCAAATACATCACATTTTTCAGATCAACTACGTCTTCTCATTGTTCTATCGAAATTTATAAAAGGGACTAATTGCTTTAAATAACAAGTAGTTTAAAGTTAAGAAAAAAATCAGTCAAAGCGATAAACTCAGGAGCAACGACCAATTCTCAATACATATCAATCCAGTAATTTCAGGCAGATAAAAATTTATCGATTAGTAGAACTTAAAAATGGACAGTCTGTAATTACCATAGTATATAGATGAATAATTGACAATTGTATGAATGTTTCCATCAAACAAAACTTCATATCATTACTAGTAAGGGATTGAATTATCCCATTTTTAAAAATCATTTTTAGTGTAGATTTGACTGAAATTTGAACAGTCTTTGTTTGGATATGCACATCCCATGCAGATTACTGCAACATTACTATTATATTGAAATTTATTGAGAATAAATTGGTTGTGAGTAACAACGGAATCCTGGATACTGGTCTCATCTTGTTTGGTACTCGTTATCTGAATATATCTACATTTCATTGTTGGTGTTCACTCTGGAAAAACTCAAACACGAGCTGCTATCGATGTATACAACATACTCACTGGATAGGTTAGTGGCTATTCTAGATTCAATACCTCAATGGAGAATGTATTTGACGTTTCAAGTGAGATACAAGATTCGAGTCCAAATAGTTGAACGTCAACACTGGGATTTAGCCGGTGAATGCAACTAATAAGTCCCTGGATTCCATTGTTAGCCACTACTTATCTATTCTAAATAAAAGTCTATTTTATTTTCAAAGATTATTTCACTCTATCATAACCTACTTTATTCATTTTACATTACTATTCTTTTTAAATTTCAGTTGATCGAGCCATAGCTACGTCACATTTTGGTTTATTTTTCAATCAAGGCCAATGTTGTTGTGCAAGTTCACGTATATTTGTCGAAGAATCAGTTTATGATAAATTTGTTGAATATAGTAGTGAAGAGGCTAAAAAGCGTGTAGTTGGTAATCCTTTTGATTTAAACACAACACAAGTGAGTAACATTTAAGGCTATTTAAACATTTAATTATTATTTCCTAGTGAAATTGTAATTTAAATACATGATTATGTAATGTTCATTATATAAATATTCATTTGATCTGTATATGGTTTTTGGTTACGCTAAAAGGATCGGATATTTTCTAAATATGATTATTAATTAATTCATTTATTTAAACACATTAACATTGGTAAAGACGTGGGACCAAGATATATATGCGTCACACCGGATTTTTTTGAAGGACGGGATACTGTTCAATCGCCCTAATCAAAACAGATCGCTTCATTAGAGAGCCACTCCCCACCCTTTTGACCTAGAGATCTAATCCACAAGACATTGAAGCAACTTCACGAGATGCGGTTTCATGGTAGATGGTGACAAATAATAGATCCACACCCCGTTTGTTGACTATAATTAAAGTGGTATTTGTTTGATGGGTTCAATCTCGTACCATCTAGTGTAAACATCAATATGCTACCTATAAACTTATGAAGTGACGTTTATATTAAATTCTTAACGATGAATTGGTTTCCTTGAAGTTTCACATGATCTTTGTAACAACCGTTAAGGTGTTTGGTTATACTCTACCATTTGTTTTTTTTCAACCACTTGCTCATATTGGCAAAGACGGATAGTGGCTAGCAGTGGAGTCCAGGACGCGCGTTTCGTTCTATTTGTGACTCGTCAGCTGGATGTACCTGCATATCAGAGTTGATGCTCATCTGGGACTCGAACTCAGTACCATTCGCTTCAAACACCATCGCGTTATCCACTGCTGGTCACTATCCATCTTGGCTTATAAAAGCTTTTAGATTAAGGCAATATCGAGGCACATATGCCAATAACAGATTGATCAATTGCAAAACAATACCAAGTGAATTCACTTGCTTATGGTTTTAAACGTTTGGTCAATGCTCAAATCTCTAACAGTTGGTGAATATATTTTAAAGTTAGTGTTATATCATTTTGGTTTCATACTAAAATACGGTTATTTGTTATTCAGGGTCCACAAGTTGATGAACACCAGTATCAAACAGTTATGTCATACATTGAATCTGGTATAAAGGAAGGTGCCAAATTATGTGCCGGTGGCAAACGGTTTGAATCAGATGGTTATTTCATTCGTCCTACAGTTTTTGCTGATGTTCAAGATGAAATGCGCATTGCTCGTGAGGAAGTAAGTTATTCTATTATTTATAGTTTGTTTCAACTTGTATGTGCTATACATGGTGGATATTGTTGAGTTGTTCTCGAAATATGGATCCAGCAACACAAGTTAATTTTCAACACAGAGAAACATTAAAACTATTGATACAATATGACCGAATAGATAACTTTATCTATCAACTAAAGAATGAGCATACTGAACAGCAGTTCAATTTGTTTTAATTTATGGTTGTGGAATGTAGTTTTTAAAATAGAGGATATTCATAGGCTTTTAATGTCTGAACATAATTACCTCCAAAACACTTATTGCATTTGTTGAAACGTCGAGTTAGCAATGCTGAGGTTGAAATCAAGGTACTGGGTAAATATAGCAAATCGGTTGACAAGGTTGTGAATCCTCATCGACTGTGGTAGTTGGGACATGTTTGACGTATACCTAACCACCACCTATCTCAATGCGCTATGTTCATTGGTGTGAAAATAGGTTGGAGGAAAGCTAGCGACTTTCAAACCAAGACGTGATGTAAGTTCATGAATTCATTGACATTTGGATTAAGCCATGTTGTTCGGTGCAGATTACTACGGTTCGTGGTTAACAACGGTTAAGAGATTTTGGGTGACATGGCTTAGAGTTAGCTATCCTTTGTCTTCTGGAACTATGACAGGTTAGCACAATGACTCAGATGTGTTCGCCCTTTGTCTTCCTATAAACATTCTGCTTTTTAAAATCATCCTGCGAACGATATATTGTGAAGTTCGAGATGCTTTTACTTTTTCTTTTGTTGAATTAATTAAATAAAACAGAAGACTGGAATTTCGGAAGAGACCTTTAATATTCTGAGAAACTACATGAGTCAACATTACCTTGTGTTTAGTACAAGGTAACCAATAATATCTAGACAAAATTTATGATAATAGCGGTGAAAATAACACAATAATAATAATTGTTACTGGGGTAATCCTAAGAATTAGTACTAATACTGTAGTGAACGAGAACACAAGTGGGGACAATCGAATGTATTTGAATACAAAATTACAGAATATCTTAGTAAAATCTGAGGGCCATACAGTAAGTACTTGCAAAATGTCAATCAGCTGTGTCAGACTTGACTGATTCTTCTTTTCCACACCAATCACTCTCTGTTCTCGTTCTCTTCTCTTCGATCTTAACCTTCTGCGTCCATGTATTTCGCTTTCGATTGATAATTCATACTACTTATATCTGTCTATATCAGTAGCGCACACTACAATACAAATTCTATTCATGTATAACAGTAGCTAATGATATTGATTTCTGTCCTTTTTTTTCTGTTGTTGTAGATATTTGGACCTGTAATGCAAATTATGAAATTTAGATCATTAGATGAATTGATACATAGAGCAAATCATACACAATATGGTCTTGCAGCTGGTATATTCACTAATAATTTAGAAAAAGCTATGCATGTTATGCAACATTTACAAGCTGGCACTGTTTGGTAATGTTAATTCTAAGTTTTTAATAATAATTGAAATGATAAAACTACAAATTGTGGACAATGTTTAAAGGACACTGTATTAACCTTGAGAAAATTCACCTAGTTACTAGGATTAAAAGCTAAGGATCAAAGGTTAAGGTTAGGAATATCAGTTAGAGTTTTCATTATGAACCAGTATCAGTTAGAATGCTGAAATTCTGTTTAGCCGTGTAGATGAGTAGTTTCCAGATCAAAATCTAGGACTAACTATTTTAAATATCATCGGTGTGTCCATATATTTATAGTCTCACCGTTGAAACTCATTACCTTTTACACTAATGTATATTATTTATAACGATACATTCATTGTATTTCAATGTCGGATGATTTCAAGTAGAGTTGATTGAAGGATATGAATTCGGATTTCGTTGATTAATTCTGACTAACACCTAGGGCTATATATAGCATATTATTATTTATAATCTAGGAACCACTTTGTGTACATTGTCCAGTTAGTCAGTCCGCTACAGCGTATTACCAGGCACGTATGTGCATCGGTCCAAGTCTCCATACCTCATTAACACAGCAAGATGAACACCGGATTCATAGAAGTAGTTAATTTAGTGGTGGTAATATATAAAAGAAAGATTGCAATAAGGATATAGTACAGGGAGAAAGAATTGGTTCGTTGAAAGAAAGATATGAAGCGATTTTAATCTCTTAGTTTAAGGGAAGACAGAGAGTGTATACACCGATGCCATTGTGATCAATTCTGAGCCATCTCACCTATAGTCTCCAAACATTTGTTACGATAGTCACGTGGACCCCAACCAAGTAGTCTGAATCTATCAACATGGCTCGGACTGGATGTTAGTGACTTCAAGCACTGATACCACGTGTTGGTTTGCCACCCCCTAATTTTCTTCCAACCATCGCCTACACTAGTAAGCTTTGCACATTGTCCATCTGTAAGGATATTAGTTTTTACTGGAACAACTCAATAATTTCTGAAACACAAATTAATGAATATTCACATCTCGAACTCTAAGGTTATTTTCCTATCAGTGCTAATTTCGATGTATTTACTTCTAAAATTTCCTACAGATTAATTCAAATCAGTCAGTGTAGAGATAGCTTGATTGTAATTATTGTCAAGCTCTAATTTAAACATCATTCTACTCCTATTTTATATGAATATACAATAAAATGAGCATCCGGGCAGTATCACAGCCCTTACATAAATCGAATGATTTATGTGGCGCATACCTATTTGGTGCCTCCTTGCACCAATGTTTATATGTTTAAACATAAAATGATCAGTCGTTACACTTTATGAGATTCATTATGTAATGACTTCTATTGTAATTCTAATTCTTGTCATTTCCACACCAAAATGTCAGACATTAAGGTAAACCATACAGAAGTTTGAATTTACTTACTGTCATTGCTTGAATGTTTATCATTGTCAGATTATTGTATAGTGAGATTGCTTAATTGTTTATTATCTGACGATTTAGGTGTAGTAAACAAGAGTTATACAAAAGTTGATCATCATTATGCAAACAAGTATAGATCAATAACATATGGCGTATGGAACAATCTTGGTCACCGGCTACCGTGGGAATGCATCTCCTCACGATGCTCCACTGCCTTGTGGGTTAGACCTTTAGGTCAAAGGCTCGGAGTGTGGCCCCCTAAGAAAACCACCTGCTTCGGTCTGGACACCCGGGCAGTATTCCACCCCTCACATAAATCGAATGATCTATGTAGCGCATATGTATTTGGTGCCTTCTTGTACCAATGTTTATGTGTTTAAATAAATAAACTGCTTGAATAATAGATGGAAGAATGTTACTTTTCTACAGGTTATGTAACATTCTTTTTGGGAGTACTGCATTTTAGTGTACTTGTAATGGTAAATTTATCAATAATGTGTATAGGTATTCACTTCAAAATAAAGAAAACCTAAAATAGCTAGGTTGATTGCACCATTTTTCTGGCTACTAGTGTGGTGAACGAGAGCACAAGTGGTGACAATCGAATGTATTTGGATATAAAATTACAGAATATCTTAGTAAAATCTGAGGACCATACAGTAAATACTTGCAAAATGTCAATCAGCTGTGTCAGACTTGACTGATTCTTCTTTTCCACACCAATCACTCTCTGTTCTCGTTCTCATAGGATGGTGAGTTCTGGCTCAGAGAATAAAACTGCACCTAAATAGTTTCTATATATAGTAAGATGAGTAGTGTGGAAGTATAACTTCTGAGACTATTAGAAACAGGATTATTATTAATATTTCCACTTTATAATTAGTAGAGACTAGATCCTAACTTCTCTTCGGACTCAAGACATGGTTTAGATAAAAGCTTGGGGATACCTGACTATTAAGAGTGCTGCTTGGGCTAGCTCAAGGTTAACTATGTAGGTCATAACGTATGATTGATCAAGTCTATAGCGCTAGGTCATAATCGGAATAGTAAATACACGACAGAAAAAACCACTACCAGAATTCCGATAGGCGAATTTAACACATGATGCTGATTAGCATCTGTAATCATCAATTGTGTTTAATTTATGAATCTGTTGTATACTTCTTTGTACAGGATCAATTGTTATGATGTTTTCGATGCTGCCGCACCTTTTGGAGGTTATAAGTTTTCTGGAGTTGGTCGAGAACTAGGTGAATATGGTTTACGAAATTATACAGAAGTCAAGACTGTAAGTATTATGTATAACCGCCCCCTGTTCTTATTGTTTTACCATCACATATGTGTGTTGAACATCGAAAGTAAAAATTAAGAGTTTACTTCACCTGGAGATAACTGTAAGAAAACTCGGATACTTTAGTTTTAATTAGTATCTGTTGTTAATGATCAAAACTAAGACGTTTATTACGAAAAACTAAGAATGAATATACAATCATTTATGAAAAAATTACATAAATACTAAACTTAATTTTATTACACATAAGCTGAATAGAATACAGGTGATCATTACATGTTCATCAATCAGTCAGTCAGTAACAACGTAGAACTTCGTACGCACGTACATCAGTCCGAGTTGTCATACCACATTAGTACAGAGATGCAGTTGTCGATTCAAGTCCCGTAGTGGTAGAGGTAGTAAGAGTATAAGCAGTAATTGGAAAGATTTGGGTTTGAAGATGTTATTCAAGGAGTATAATCCAGTGAAATAAATTTGCAAAGAGAAAAAAAGAGACGAGGAGAATTCAGAAGATTAGAATTTGGGAGAACACAAAGAGTGGATGCACCTGCGACATTCCAAACGGTTTTGAGTCATGTCATTCAACACCTCTAACCATCGGTTGCTATCATCTCGCGGACCCCAACCAGGTAGTCTACACCTACCAATATGGCTCAGTCCACATATCAGTGACTTCATGGACTTGTGCCATGTTTTGGTCTGGATGTATATTTCGACAGCAATCATTCAATAAAGATCATTTGTCCGATCTAACTAGAGTCAGATCCTAGGCCACAAAACTTCTCAAGATATGGTTATCTGTCACAGGCGATTGAGGAAAATGGATTTTGTATAACATATTACTTAATCCTGGCAGATGGTGTTACATTCATTTGTTTCTACTCCTACGTGTACACATTTTGATATATGTCTATCATTTCATCGGTTGGTGCAATATTTTGGCATAACTAATCTTCAATTTTCGACTCATGTACTCCTGAATTCACTATTATGTCCAATTTTGGATACTACTGCATGATTTATAAGAAACTGTTGCTCCACTTCAGTTCACTTAGTTATACAAACCAACTGATTGATATACCTTTGTTAAAGTAAAGAATAACAGATAACCTCGTTGTGCACTATTGTACTGAATCTATGATCCAGCACTAGAATTTCCCCAAGTCATTTACTTTGAACAAGCATGTCATAACCGTTGAGCAGTTTGCTTATCTTTTACCGACCATATGATAATATCAACCAAAAGGTTATAAATTAGTTTAAGGAATTAGGATCAAAAGCTAGAATCAGAGGTTAGAATTAAGAAATATGAGTTAGAGTTTTTCATTATGAACTAGTATCAGTTAGAATGGATAACTGTGTTTCATGCCAAAATTTATGACTTATCCTTTTAAATTCCATTGATTTGTCCATAAATTATATCAGATGGGTTTTGTGGATATTATGGTAATTTCAATGGTTAAGATCATGAGTCAATTAAAGCTAAACCACTATGGAAAACCTGGAAACACTGGACGGCCGTTACCTCCTATTGTGGGACTCCTCAGAAGTTCCTGTAGTAAGTATTGTTTATGAATATGACCAACAACAATTGTTCACCACCTCAAGTAGATTATCTTTATTTGAAATTGTATCACATTTTGTGTATTCCTTTTTTTTTTAAAAATCACACACTCTAGGTAACTACGCGGATACTTCAAAAGAATTCATAAACACAGATAACTATTGGTTATTTATTCTTGTTATTCTTTATAAAATTTATTATTTGAAATTGGTGATCAGTTTGAACTTTTAACTCATGAAGGTATGATTGAAATTTTGTGATAAAATCGTGTTTGATTTTAAATATATTTTTTCTAATTTATTTATTTATTTGAACGCATATATTGGTACAAGGGGGCACCACATATATATACGCTACACAAATCAATGAGAATTCGAAGAGAAAAATAAGGTAAGGAGGGCAAAAAAAGAACAATAACGAAGAGATTGGTGTAAGGTAGTGTAGTAATAATGAGGGAACGGAAAGGTACAATCAGAAGAAATCTTTCCGTTAAGGAAGATACAACCACTTTTTTCTATGAAGAAAGTAAAAGAAGGTTACAGCACGATCTCCACTGGCTTCTATTCTGAGCCATATCTGATGAAGTCTCTAGCCACTGTGTCGCACCATCTCTCGGACCTCAGCCAGGGAGTCGTGAAGGACCAACAGCCCTTCAGCCAGCCCTTTGCAGCTTTCTTTCATTCCACGATACCATGTCATATACTGACTACCTCTCTGCTTTTTCAAGCCAGTCCCAGCGTCGGTAAATATTGCACGACGTGGAATTCTCTGGGACGACATTGGTAGAACATATCCAAGCCACGGAAGTCGATGTTTCAAGATGGTGACACCAATTGGATTATCGTCTTTGCGCACGAACACACGATGCCGAACCTCTGTATTACTAACATGGTGTTGCCACTGGATGTCAGCAATCCTTGGGAGACAACAATGATGGAATACAAAAAATTGTCTAACGTCCTCAACTCGGAGAGGCCAAGTTTCACAAACATAGAGCGAAACTGCTCTCACCGTCGCGTCGTAGATCCGACATCATCTGACATCATGACGGCGCCAAAAGTGGCCCAGACTGGCAGAAGTCGCTCTGGTTTTCACTATACGTGCATTGGTCTCATCACTCACGCCACCACCAGTACTTGTGTAGCCGCCTAGACACAAACTTTTCGACTACTTCTATCTGCCCACCACCTAGAGTAAGTACAGGATTAGAATCCTGCCAGTCTTGTAGAAGCACTTTACACTTCGAAGGTGCAAAGCACATACCGTACTTACGGACACTGATTGCCAACTTACTAAGTGTGGATTGCATGCTTTGAGCATTATCGCACAATAAGACAATATCATCCGCATACTCAAGGTCGAGAAGTCTTTCCCCAGGCAACAGATTCACACTGCCATTACTTACATCCATCAGAGCTGTTTCCAGAATGTCATCAATATATATATAAAAAACCCGATGTCCATTACTGTAGGAAATCAGTATTTAGGTTGTTGCTTGATAGTTGATTAAGGTATTCGCTTTTTCATCCTGCTTTGAATTTATCAAAATTTTAACACTCAGTATATTTATGTAGATATACCTTAACCAGTGACAGAATTGAAAAGTTTTTATGTAACTCGATCTACCAAAAAATATTTTCAAGCATGTGATAAGATTATTAACAGATGGGAAAAAAGTAAAATTAGGAAATACGAAACAGACGAGGGGTTCGGCAAATAGTCAGGTCGCATTTAGATGCTTACTCTCTGATAGGAGGTGGTTTGCGATTTGTCTCGTAAGTAGGAATACATTGGAGTGGAGTTTGCTCATTATATTGTATTGTTAGTGGAAGACCTAAGTGATATTCTGTAAAGTTGGTGGTGAAGCTTCGTCGTAGCCGATCCTATGCTACGTATGCAAGTAAATGTGTTTTGACATTTCTCCACCTTGTATTTTTGATGGTTCTATCCATCCTCTTCTTATAGCTCCTTTAAACATTTATAATCAGTGGTTCTCAACAACTTTTTGTCTCTGACCAAGACATGAACATAGAGGTTGGGATTTTCTAAGTGGTTTTCAACGAATATGAAAAGCTGAAAGAGGCCTACAGTGACTCTCTGGAATGTCTTGTACATCTGTAAGCTGTAGTTTGTATGCTCTATAAATGAATAAATGAGCACATATATATTCTGAAAATGTTTATAGAATTCATGGATGTTGAAAGGTATGATCAGCCTGACATGGATAGCACCGTCAAATGTGAGAGACCGGTGTATAATTTTAGATTTTATATCACGGACAGATTGTGGCAGATTATTTTAGTGTCGGAAATGTATTCGTAAAGTAATTCATATAGAGAGAAGAATTAGAGTAATATCTTTTTACTAATGATAAGGAGTTTCGGATATCAGGCAGCTCTCCATATTTGAAGGGTACACCATTTAGTATTTTGAAGAAAATGATTGTATTTTTCCCTGCAAAAATGAGTCGAGTTCATGCTTATTTCATCTGGATTCATAATTGAAGTTACAATCGCTCCTAAGGAGAAAAACTAAATCGCCTCTGTACGTACTCCAGCCTTAACTTCTCGTTTATGCAAACACTGATAGGAAAGGAAGCTCAGTATTATAGGAGTGGTCGGACACATACTTTGTACACTAAAATTCATGAGCCGTCATAGAGGTTGCGAAGTATGTAACTAAGATGCAAAGTCGCTGTTTCACACAATTCCCAGCCAAAAAAGGAATGGTCCTGTGGAATCCATTCACTATTTCCACGGGTGTAAGACAGTGTGCGAAACTGAGTCACCAGATGATGGGTAAATAGCACCCTGGTTTCCAGACATCATCTAGATCTCCAGCTCTGACAGGATATATACAAAAATAATTCGTTAATGACAGGAGAAAGATTGGACCTTCACCGTTATGCAGCCAGTTCAGGAGCACGACGTCTGTCCTCACACACAAATATTCTTCTTTGTTTGACTTCCAAACAGTTGATTCGACCGCAATCGCTGCGCAAATATTGTGTACTGTGTTTGAATATTACTGTTTACTTAGTACACAAATGAAGTATGTAGAATACTTGTTCATAGCTTTTCAATGTTACGTCTTTATATCTATGATAATTCTGTTTTTCATCCTACCTAATGGATTGTGTTGCATTAAGTGTGCTTGTAGAGAGCCTTTTTTTATAGGATTATTTGTAAGATGATGATTACTACTTCAAAGTAAGTCCAACGTTTATGCTCAGATTATTGACTTGAACTTATTCAAAATGACCTAATGAGGATTTATGCTAACCTCAATGCACAATTCGAGATAATCATTATCAGCTTTCAGGCGTAACTAAGATTATTTTATGTAGTTGTAATTAGGAGAAAACGTAGAAAAGGATATATACTCAAGATTTATAAGCAGTTTGATTCTGGCTGATTGTAAGATGTGTTACTTCTTAATTTTGCAGTGAGGTTGGTGAGGACTTTTAATTCGTTTCTGCACTGCACACTGAAATGACAGCATCACAGGATAAGCGAAAATGGGACAGTGAACGACATACGCCGTGTGTCACGGTTTACTGCCGTGTCCCGCCATTACAAAGTTGTACGTTAACTAGTCTGGACATATAACACATATTTTTTGGAGTGTGTTCTTGTTATTTTGCCAATAGTAAGGTATCGATTACATCAACACCGATTTAATAGAGTTTGAGAGTTATAGCCGGTGGGGATATAGTCCTGATACTGGAATCGCTTACCTACGACTTCTCACTTCTTGCCAATTGTTTGAAATTTCGGCATGCATAGAACAACATTTTATTCATTGTCATAGTACTATTCACCAACCATTTTAATTTTATTTTTTTGTTGTGACAGAATATTGGGTAGAATATAGTGTCTAGTGCTAGTAAATACTCATTTACTTTCAGCTGCGGGTCTGAGAGCAGAGGGCATGCGCCAGTAAATGCCAGGTAGATCAAAATAACCTCATATCACCAAATCCGGCGGGTGGGCTTGAGTAAATAAAGGATTTCAGTGTTCTTTAGCTTTGGAGCCCTGCATCTTCAACACCTAATCTTGTGTAACTTCTTTGATGTTGTTATCACCGCTCAATAAGTTGGGGATTCTTCTGAAAATTTCACCTCACCTTACTAATGAATTGTGACTACCTGAATGTTTGCGAATTTTGCATATGGTTGACAAGCTTCAACTGAAGCTGAAAACAAACTTATTATATTTTCTACCTCTGATGTAAAGGATGATAAAATTTCCGCATCAGAGATTTACGTGAAAGGTGATTACAAAATAGATTCCAAGACCAGTTTTTATTTCGTTTTCAGTGGCGATATTGCCAGTACGCAGTCAATGGTCAATGAAAGTTGCTGCAGACATGCCGACTTCTATCATACGATCACTCATTCAGACAAGCGTTTAAATGAACAAGAGCGTTACGAACAGCAAAGAAATTAGAGTTTATTACTGCAGAATATTAGTTGCCATATTCGTTTGTAGTCAATTATGCTACCATTCATCATCAGCTTGAAATCACTCAAAGAGATATGCATCACAGCGACGGCGCTAGTTATAAAAATTGTTTGATGAGATGGTTGATTATGTTAACGTTAAGGCTAAAAATGTCGCCAGTTTAGTGGATCTCTAAGTTCATCGAAAATGTAATATTTCAAGACGAGTAGTAATCACGCACATTGAGGTAGAATGAAACGCAATGACATGACCGAGAAATTTTAAACTCTCCATTCAATGGTGTATTTGGAAAACTTTGTTCAGTGACTTTAATTCAACAGTGCCAGTTACTGCGTTAGTTCTCTCCGTAGGCCAAATATAATCTGGATCTCCGTACATGATGCTTCATGTTTCGAAACAACATTTGAAGCACTAGAAGCTGATGGACAGAGTAATACAGCATGTAAGCTCACGAGTAAAATCCAATCTTTTCATACAGTGTCCCTACAGTGATATTATATTATCTAAGCATTGTTCATAAGGTTGCTGTCATATTGTATTACCCCCCCCCCAATTTACTAGGAAGGAATAAAATTTTCACAGATTTCTGCATAAGCCTTGCTCGTAGAAATTGAAACTATTGCGGAGTCTTGTTGTATGGTCTTGGTTGAGACAAATGTCCCTCTCGTATTCTCTTTGATAGACACTCGACGCCTTTCTGCAATTAAATGTTTTATTAAAAAAGAGGCCATACATTAAACACGATGGTCGCATCCTTGTCACGTTCGAAGGGCGAGCAAAGAGGCCTAGAAAGACATATCTTGATCACCGTGATTTCTGTGTTATCCATATTATTCGACCAGCATTCATCTTAAATATGAACTGTGAGCATATAAAGAAGTTGAAAGACGAACGATGGTTTCTATGTATATCATATACACTTATATATCTATTATATACACTTTTCGAAATAAGATTTTCGTTTTATCCTTTTATTCATGTAACGTTGAATATCAAAGAAGTGATGGACGATCCAAAAGAAATAAATGAGGTGCATAGTAAGACCTTCACGTTTCTACTCACTTGGTGTATTAAGTATAGGAGTGTAAACGACAGTTTCAAACCACATGAAATTTAAAACACTGAACTTAATCTGCATGATGTAGTTGATCTTACCAGGAAATCGTAACTTTTTGGCAGGAAAAAGATGTTGACCATATTTACTGAACACGGTGGCCCAGACACTTTTATCTTCAGAGCAGATATGGCCTGTTGCTTGGAGCAAGTACTTTACCATGGCAGTGGTTAATCACGCACTGTCTCACACTTTGAATAAAGGTCTAGGTTAGACGTGAATAACTACTCCTTGATTAACTTTCTTTTTGCCGTATCCACACCTGTGTAGGAGGTTGTTCAAGCGGTATTTTTATTATTTAGCTAACCAAACACTTGCTATATTTCATCATGGAATCATATCTTGAGGCTTGAATAATCTGTCACTTGTAAAATTCTAACTATTTGATAAGCAACAGAGATGAAGAAAAGGTAGTCGTCACTCTACATTTTAACTGTACTAAAGCGCACGATGAGCCTCTGTTGCATCCGGTATGACAGGTAAAATAACCTATAGAGCGCGAGCAATCAATATAAAGATAAAACAGATATTTTCGGGAATCGAACTTTATTGTTTGTCTTATACTTTGAAACCAATATATAAAATCATTCTGGTTATTTATTTTAACATTCTATCCATTGGTTTGAGACTTTTTACGATCAACTCCTCAGTGATCACTGTTCTTTAATATATCTGCAACCTTTTTATGACAGTTTGCTTAGTGATTAGTAACGTTTTACATGCCGATCTAATATGCATTAATTTCTTTCACTAGAAACAACTATGGTTTATCAATTGTTTATGTTTGCTTTTTTCTACATCTCGCCTTTCTTTGATATTTCATTCCGGCATCTTTCTATAAGTATCATTTAGAGACGGTTAGCATAAATGTATTAGATGATTTAGATGTCTTGCAGTTAACGCTAAGCTACAGGAGAATAAGAAGCGATTCAGCAATGTCGTAAAAAAATATCTGCACTCCAAGCCGCCTTATTACGAACATATTACAAGAACATCACCATCACGTTACTTAAGGCAGTCCTCGAAAGACTGAAAATCAAAGAGAAAATAGCCAGATATTCTTTCACTTCTTATTAAGGGTTCATCACGCTTAGAATGCCTCTCAGCAGAGGTGACCATAGTCCATTCATTAGGTAGCCTTAGGAGTAGACTAGCTACGTCTGATACATGTCTCACAATTTACCACAGTTACCTTTACCGCATATTTGTAACTACGTTATATCACTTCAATAATTATTTCCATTTTCTCTCTTATTCTTTCCATTCCGACTTCCTACTCATTATCAATCAAATAACTAATTCGTAAAACAGTCGTCTTCTCTCGGCACTCCAATTATCACTATTATTTTCAAATTAAAACTAACTAACATCCTGCCCATTAATGTGGTGGCCGCTGGTATCCGGAAACCCCATTGTTTTATGAAAAACGCACTCACCCAACTTCAAAATATGCAAATCAATAAATAACTAATACAATGACTAGAATTACTTCTGTCGAGTAACTAGACTACCATTCATTAGACATTATGGAATACCCGGAACTGCATCGCGGATACAAGAAGCGAGAAAAAAGAAACTAACCGCTTTATTGAAGCTCGTGATTTAGATATTGGATAATGGATTTAGAAATCACGCGTTTTTAATGTTGTCTAATATGTGAGACAGCTCTATTGTTTTCAACCAATTTAGTGTCATAACACAGCAGTGAAGAAATAAAATAGTCCATAAATGGTTTGTAATTATGTTAAGAGTTGTTAGATTTTACACTCCATCTTTGTAGTTTACTTAGCTTGTCCTTCATCGATACTTTCACACTTGTATCCTACATAACATATGAAATGCGTCAGAATCTTGTACTCATATTATATGGCAGTAGGCGAGTAAACCGTAGTGGCTGACGATGTTATTAATTCAGGGGTTCAAGAACAAATATTCTTTTTTGATCGCTTTGTTAGAGTGAGCTACTCATACATGCGACCTTGCATGAGACGCTTAGAGCAATACAAAATCATGACGACGTAATGGAGTTTGGATCTGGCCTAGACAAGGTTTTGAAACAAGAAGTCGCAGTCATTTATGGAAACAGAGTCAGAGAATTACATGCGCTTGAGCACAATCAGTTGTATTTATTGCTTGCACAATCATATCATTAAGTTTTTCAAGGAATGTAACAGAAGCTGACTCGTTCAAAAGTTTAGCTAGTCTTTTGGATTTACTAGGTGAACGTTCGGCAAAAGTAAACACATTCTTAACTCATTTTGAAAGGCTCAAACGTTACCTGGACCTGTGACGTCCTATACGAAGTTCAGGGATTCGAACCAGACAATTTTTTTATTATCTGATATTCCTTCAAAAAAGTGCGTAAAATTTACCATCAATTTTCGTTTAGAATTTTAGGTTTCTTAAAAACAGGCAGGAAGCGTCTTTTTGTGCATGACAAAAGAGGCGTTTGTGTCGAATGCGTGCCTCTATGTGTTTTGGATTTCTACGTACATGAAGCACATCAGAGGAAAGGTTGTGGAAAAAAGTTATTTGACTTTATGCTTAAAGTAAGTGTTTCAGCGATGAGTTGTCACATTCCGCTTATGGTGTTATCTTGTTTTGGTGCAATCATGTTGACTGTACCAATCATCAAGTATTTCCTTGTTCAAATTTTGCTCCTTTTTCTGTATTAGTTCTTCGTACTGAGCTCAAAGTTCTCTTCATCAAAGCAAAGCGATGATACAACGTTTCGAAAGATGGACTTTTGATCAAGATGTGATAGATTGTTACCCAGTTTTTTTACATCATAGGGATATGTGACCCTATATAAATCAACACATCTATGTTCGATTCGATTTACAATAAGCTACCTATTTATATATGTATTCTTGCTTAACAATAATAGTGTTTTTTAAAGCTCGCTTATGAGCTCTGCTTGTAGTCCTACATGAGTGTATTGGAAGCAAAGAACCAGCAATTTCCATTTTATATGTAACGTTTAAATACGTTAAATCATTTGGTAAAATTGCTAATCAACATCCATTGAGATTAACATAATGTTTGATATGAATTCATATGGCTTTTTATTATAATGTGCAAGGTTAGCATTGCTGGAATTAGAATAGACCGATTTTACGGGTAGCCATCCAGTTTGGTTTTTGTAGTGTTGATTTGTAGTGAGGATTTAGAGCTCAGATAAATGCTTTTGGTGTTACTGAGGTAGATTGTTCAACTTCGGAGCTTTCCCTTTAATTTTATTTCACGTCATCAGCGCTTACTTTATATAGAAGTAAGCTTATTATTCATAGTTAAATGTTTAGTGATTTCTTCCTAGTTGCTTCGTTTGTGATTCTTTATTCTATTAGGTTTCGTTTTCTTCATTTCTACATATATTCTGTGTAACTGTCTTATTTGCTTAACATTTGATTGTGCTATTGATTGGCCTCTTTTGTAGTGATTGATAGATTGAGTCTCTTCATACATCTGTTAATTGATGATTGACCTGAATATTGTGTTTCCAGAACTTCCTTGATGTTATTGTAATTCTCTTAATTCAGAGTGTGATATTTTACAATGAGAGCTCGTGTCCATAGTTGTTTGTATGCTTGTGGAATCATTGTTAACATATTGTGTTTCACTGACAATTTCCGTTTGTTTATTTGTAAAAAGGCGGAACATCTACTTTATCTAAAGCATTGTTTGTCACAGTCTATGAAATTCATTACTTAGTTGATATTGAATCTATCTCTCTTAGCTGTTATCTCTGAGCTGAATACAATGGAACAATGTGATTGTGTTGAGTTGTGAAATCAGCCAAATAAAGCAGTCATTTTGAGTACCTTGTATGTAAGAAATAAAGATAAAAAATTGTGCTATTCAGAACTTAGTATACATCCCTCACATAAACAATATCTATCAAGGAAGACCAAAGACTAGGGTTAAAATTTAGTTAAGTGAGTATCCCGTCCTTTAGAATTATTAAAGCTTGTCTTTCACACTAGAATATCTCTTATTACGACAACCAGCCTTTGGTTCTAATCAATAAGATGATGTACGGCATCATATTAGTCCATGTTTTCCACTTAATCTAACTACACTGGTCTTTAGTATATTTCTATATGTGTAATGAAATTGTCTTACACACTTTGAAAACTGTTGAAGGGAATGTTTTCACATTGATTCTCGAATATGTTTAACACTATGTACATAACTCTTCCTTATAAGTCCTTCAAAGTGTCCTAAAAAGCTATAAATAAAGTTTTCAAATATTTGGGATTATATACTTGTGGATTTTTGAGGAATTTTTAATCGTAAAAACCAAAAGAAACATGGGTACCTTTTCTTCTTACATACATATTGAAAACGGGCATTTCACTTCTTTGAGTCAACACAACTTTCCTGTCAGATGACTGTACATCATGAAATAACTCCATCGTTGATTAGTTATCTATTCAGTGTTCCGCTTTGCCTATTGTCCGCTTTAGCTCTTACTCGTAAGTTTACTAAATAATTAGCTTTGACTGTGAACGTAAAGTTCATCCGACACATGTACATCTATTGTGTTTTAAATCATTTTAAGTGCTGTAAAAATTGTTTTTCAAATGTAATCACCTTGTATGAAGATAAAATCTATGACTTATCTTTGCTCCGTAAACCTTTTGTTATATCCCGATTAGAATAATGAATGATAACTTTTGAGAACGTTCTATGGACTAATGTGATAGATATATTTTCGTTGTGTAATTTTTTAACTAACTAAACTATGCATGCGCATGTGTCTCTTATTATAAGCTTTATTTTGATCTGTGGACTGTTATTATACTATTTATCATTTTTGAGTTCTGCTCAGTCTATTAATTACAGTCCTCCATATTCACAGTCACTTTTAGCCAATTCTTGTACAGATGTTGTTTTCTGTTTAATGGTGCGATGTAGTTTGTTTGGTTTTTATATAAACTCAGTCTGTTTGAAATAAATGATTCATATCACAGAGGCTGAGATTTGTGTTCTAGACTCAACAGGCAGGAAGGTTAGACAGAAAGAGGGACTGATAAGGAAATATAGACTGTTCGTACTTGTTTTATGCGTTATTGGTCCGGTTGATAGGTCATTGTTTTCTAATTGGCGGTATCATTACGTTATGCATATTAATAAGGCACAAGTCGACAAGCTATTATAGTAACATTGTTAGTATTTTAAAATTAGGTAGGGTTTACGACTCCGTGTTATTGACTTCATTTATTTATGAAATCATTCATGTAAACAAATTTTAAATGTCCTCAGTATCACTCTACTTAAGGTCATAGATATTCAGCTAATGTGAATTAAATTTTGTTACTTCATAAATAAATGTAGTCGGCGAGACTATAATTTCTGGACGAACCAATCAGGTCTAAGATAACAGGTCTCGGATTTTGGCGCGAAATCCACTCATCCATTTGGCTAAATAGCATCTTGGCTTTATAAATGATGTCAGTTCGTGATGAAAAACCTAATTGTAATTCCTTACCCAAACTATCAACTGTAATTTATAATTCTAATTCCTCACACTAATTTATAACCCTCATTTGATCCTAGTTATTAGGTAGACAGTTTCGAGGTTAGTTTAGCGTTACTTAGAGGTCGTCCATAAGTGGTAGTCTTACCGAATAAACACGCTTATCACTTACATATGCTTATACATATGTTTAATTACATGGATGTATAAATGAAAAACGTTTAATCTGTATACGATGTGATATTCTTATATTCTATAATCTCTCATGAATATCATGATCATTACTTTTCCTTAACTTAAAAAAATGTTATATCTTGTGACTTTGTACCCTATTAGTATACAACATAATGATACCGCCAATTAGAAAACAATGACCTATCAACCGGACCAATGACAAGTAAACCCGTACAAGAAGTCTATATTCCTTATCAGTCCCTCTTCCTGTCTAGCCTTCCTGCCTGTTGAGTCTAGAACACAAATCTGAACCTCTGCGATATGAATCATTTATTTCAAACAGTTTGAGTTTATATAAAAACCAAACAGACCACAACGTGCCATAAAATAGGAAACAACATTTGTACAAGATCTAGCCAAAAGTCGCTGTGAATGTGGGTAACGGTAATTAATAGACTGGGCATAACTCAAAAATGGTAAATCGTATAATAACAGTCCACAGATCAAAATAAAGCTCATAATGACAGGAACACGAATATGAATAGTTTAGTTACTTGACAGTTATACAATAAGAATATATGCAGTATCGTATTAGTCCATAAATAGATCCCAAAATTTATAATTCATTATTCTCATCGGGGTATAACAGTTAATAGGCTAATTAGTGGGTTTGCGCTTATCCTAAATTTAAATCTCTGGAATAAAATGTTACAACATTCTAAATATATTTAAGTTTATCTTAATCCCCATGATTTGTGTAAAACATATTGTATCTGAGACAATGTTATTACTAATCATATGCTTAAATTATGCTTTGGAACATAAAGAAGTTACTGATGTTTCTAAAAGGATTGTATATCATTTTGCTTATAAACATGAATTATTAAATATACTAAACATAAACTAAATGATAAGTGTTTTTGCTAGCGAGTTAGTTTTCTGAGGGATGGGGTTGATAACCCCATGACCAACCCTCCTCCTTTATCCGGGCTTGGGATCGGCATTAGCTCCCAGAGTGACTCCAGGCGGAGTTAAATGATAAGTGTACTTGATCAAATTACCTTATTCACAATCTTTTTTATACACAGGAAAACTTGTAAAAAGAAAAAAAACAAGAAAAGTTGTTGAACTGGGTTTAAACCTTATTGATTTATTGATCTGTTTAATATCATCTGATCTCAAGTGAACATTTCTCATAGGTACATACTTACTTTTGTCATTTATCTAAACACCTTAAATGAACAAAATAAATTACATTAAAGATAAACTAATACCAGTGACCATTTCAATATGAAGACTTATAATTGAAACATCTAGGTCATAGAATGTTACTTCAACAAAATCATTCTCTTGAAATATATACCTACTCTACTATCTCAGAATGTAGCCTCTATGTTTAAAAGTTTTAATAAAAGATTATTGTGATCTGTAATCGAGCGGTGGATAATCATAATTTAGATTACTTTTATTAGTAGTTTGTGGTGGAGTACCTAACCTCGATGATTCTGATGATGGTATATATATATATATATATATATATATCCTGTTTCTTTTCGTATATAACACCTAAACTAACCTCATTATGTAAGGGTGGTATTTAAATACCAGATATAAAATATTGTTGGAAGATTAGATTTCATACATTGACTTACAAGCAGACAGCAACAAAAACTAGATCGCTTATAGCTTTAGGTGTGGTGAAGGTATGGTATGTACTACTTATATTGACATAAGTAGTATATGATGTTAATCGTGGACAGAAGGTCTGGCAGCATAGAGACAAGAGGATCGAACAATAAAGAATGGAAACAGGATGTAATTTGTATGAAAATACAAGAACAATGATGTCTAAGTCATTTTAAGACAACTGATGGACATTTTGCAAAATTAAGCATTTACTTTATGATTGATAGATTTTATGAACAAGTCCTGTAATTTTGTGTTAATTACGTTCGAGTGTCCTCACCGGTGTTCTGTTCACTACAAAGGTGTGCGAACGAAAGATGAAAGTTGATTACATGTGAATACTTACAATATAACCAAATAACATTAAAATTGTACATTCACAGTTCATCAGAGTTTATGAGACGAATGTAAATTTAATAAGGTATTCATTGACTATTTTCATTTTGACGATTTTATATACTAAGACTATACAATCTAATATATCGTCAACCGTATTTACTAAAATGGGTAATCTTTAATAGAATAGATTGGTGTTGAACATTTACAAAGTTTTAAAATAATGTCTTGTTATGAATTGTTTATGAAACTCGGATATCTAAAGGAAGTTATGCAATGATGAGCTAGTGAGAAGTACTAAGATGAAGACAATCGGTCCACTTGATAGTTATTGAGAATAGAATAATTAAAAGCAAAGTTGGGTGTTGGCTAGCAGTGGAATCCAGGACACGCATTATGTCAGCCGGATATATGTGCGTCCCAGAGTTGGTGTTCACTTCGGAACTCGAACCCGATACTGTCCGCTTTAGACGTTATCGCGTTACCCATATAGTTACTGAGCCCTGAAAACCAGTAGCTTATGCAATAGGGTTAAGTTTTAATTCAATTTGTATTGTTTGTTTGAATCCTTCCATACATGTTTAGGACTGCGATTGTGACTCAAGGCAATCCGCACATGATGAACATATGCCAATAAGAGACTGATCAGTTTCAGTTCTAACACATCAATGGGAAGATTCAAACAAACAATGCAACGAAAAATAGTTAAAAGTTATAATAATGGCTAATTATTAAGCAAAGATGGATAGTGGCTAGCAGTGGAATCCAGGACGCGCGTTTCGTCCTGTTTGGGACTCGTCAGCTGGATGTACCTGCATCTCAGAGTTGATGTTCACTCTGGGACTCGAACTCAGTACCGTTCGCTTCAAACGCCATCGCGTTATCCACTTAGCTACTGAGTCCTGATGGCCACTTTCTTGTGCAATGGGTTGAAGTTTAATTCACTTGATATTGTTTTACTTGAATCTTCCCATTGATGTTTATGGACTGAAATTGATCAGTCTGTTGTTGGCATATGTGCATACTGTGCGTATGCCTCGATATTGCCTTAATTTACAAGCATTATAAGCAAAGATGAATAGTGGCTAGCAGTGGAATCCAGGACGCGCGTTTCGTCCTGTTTGGGACTCGTCAGCTGGATGTACCTGCATCTCAGAGTTGATGTTCACTCTGGGACTCGAACTCAGTACCGTTCTCTTCAAATGCTTGTAAATTAAGGCAATATCGAGGTATACGCACAGTATGCACATATGCCAATAGGAGACTGATCAATTTCAGTCCAAAAACATCAATGGGAAGATTCAAGTAAAACAATATCAAGTGAATGGCTAATAATTAGTTGTGAAAATAAGTGTAGAGGAATAGGAATAATAATTTAAAGAAACAAGAGATTAGAAAAGGGTGACAAGGAAGGTTCAGACCATAGAATAATGAGGAATAAGACATAATGTTTTGTGTACACGAAGGTTAAGCTTAAACAGGTGGATAGCAATAGCCTCTTCTATATGAATGATTTTGAAGAGTGATAAAAGTTGAAAAAATCATTAAATGTATGTAATGTGGTTTCAGTCATGTGATATATCCTAGTACAGGTTATTTTAAACAAATGATTGAATCAATGTGTGTGCTACTGATGTCGTTAGATATAAGTAGCATGTATCATGAATGGGAAGTGAAATGCCTAGCGGCAGAAGGTTAAGGAGATCGAATGAAAGAGAACGAGAACAGAGAATGGTTGATATGGAAACGAAAGAACAATGAAGTATGAGACGATTGTTTGACATTCTGCAAATGAAGTATTTACTGTATGATTCTCAGATTTTACTAAGATATTTTGTAATTTTGTAGTGTCTGTCTCTATTTTTTGGCGTATTGTGTTGTTTAATTTTTGTCTTCTCCGTCAGCCTTGAGAATTCCAAGTAATACTTCCATTTCACTGTACTGAGTTGCAGTATTTTGAATAAAACGTATAATTTGTTATTACACTCCCCTATCTGTTGTGATTTTAAGTCCAGCTTGTTATGACGTGATTTATCCGCCAATCGAAATACGACTTATTCAATCTTAGTAATGTGCTAAACCAATGTCGTTCGACTGGTATGAGCAGTCTGGTGTCCTTGTTGACTCATTGTTCTTCTGGCTCTTTCAGTTGAATCCAGAACATCAATATCAGCTCTCACTATACGTATCATTGATTTCAAACATACTTGATGTATATACCAACCAAACAGACCTCATCACAGCATGAAATAGGAAATAAAATTCATACACACAATAAAGCCAAAATGTGGTTGTGAATGTGGGGGACTGTAATCATCAATAAACTGAACATAACTTCTTAAGAACAGTAAATCGTACAACAATAATAATCCATAGGTTAAAATGAAGCTTATAATAAGAGGAATATAGTTAGATATACATAATCTAGTTACTGAATAGTTATACAATAGGAATATATATAATATTAGTCCATTAATAGGTCTCAGGAGTTACTCGTCATTTAATCTTCGCTAGGATATAACACTATCAGAACCCTCCACCCCCGCTGTTTTTTTCTTCGCCTTTCCCCCACCCCTCTCTATTTCTCAAATGATTTTCCCATAATTTTTTTTTCAGTATGAAAATATTAATCCTTCTTGTTTGGCTATTGATTTTCCTTCGAAAAAAATGTTACAATTTTTACATAAACATTATCAATTAAAAAATCCAATTTTTTCATCAAATAATTTTGTTGTTTATTCAAAATTTTTCGATCAAATTTTTTATGATACATTGGACATTGAAAAACATTCTACTATTCCATGTGAATTATCATCTATTATTCAAATTTGGGATACAGAAGGTTTAATTCATAAAAGAAAGATGAATCCTATTGTCAATCATTCTTATCATAAACCTAATAATAATAATAATCACTATGGCAACACAATAACCATGGATGAACAATCAAAGTTAAATGATCAAACTCATATTCATAATAAAACATTAACTAATCAACAAGTGAATCAATTACATAGAACTATCAATGATGAAATACCTATACCTATGACAGATATGAAGTTATGTAATAATAGTAATAATAATAATAATAATAATACATTAACAAGTGTTTATGATGTATCTAAAATAGATGATGGAAATGTTAAACTAAAACAACATCTTAATGAGTCAAAACTTATGGATCAGCATCATAATGGAGTGAAGACATTTGGACTATTACATAATGCATATGATAATGTTAATAGGTAAGTATTACTTAGGGATTATATATGTTGAATAATATCGGTGATGTCATAACTTGTGGTTTTGTGCCCTTGGTTCTTTGTTTTTCACCCCATCGCCAATTGTTATAACTTGTGCCCATTTCCCCTATCAATGTATAATGTAATGATACCGCCAATTAGAGAACAGTGAACTATCGACCGAGCCAATGACGCATAAAACCCGTGAGAGCAGTCTAGAGTCCTTATCGGTCGTGCTTCCTGCCTAGCCCTGCCTGTTATGTCCAGGACACCAATTTCAGCCTCTGAGATATCAACCATTTACTCTAAACATACTCGGTTTATATACCAACCAGACAGACCATATCGTACCATAAAATACGAAACAACATTTGTACAAGATTTAGCCAAATGTGGCTGTGAATGTGGGAGGCAGTAATTAACAGACTGGGCATAATCCAAGAATGGTAAATCATATAGTAATAGTTCATAGGTCAAAATAAAGCTTATGTTAAGAGGAACACGAATATGAATAGTTCGGTTATTTATCAACCATACAGTAAAAATTTACCTATAGTATTAGTACAGAAATAGATTCCAACAGTGACCATTCATTATTGTCATCGGGATATAACAGGTGAGACTATAATTTATGGACAACGTTTGAGCGACGCTAGTGTCCAGATAAGGGTTATAAACCAGTAAGGGGAATTAAAATTATGATTTAAAGTTGATCGTAAGGGTTAGGTTTTAGATATATGGTTAGCACCGCGAACTGACGTTAGCTAAAATGTCAAGACGCTACTTGAACGAATGGGTGAGTGAACTTCGCGCCAAAATCTAAGACCTGCGATCGCAAATCTGATTGGTTCGTCCATGTATCATGGTCTCGGCATAATATATTATACTGAAACAAACGAAAAAAAATGTATGTTATGGCAGCTCATGTGCAATTGAGTTTGTTTACATTCAATTTGGTTAAGCCCTTTTATTAACTTATTTAAAGGACGGAGCCATCTGTACAATAACAACTTATATCAGTGTACCTTTATTATTATTGTTGCACTTGTATGAATATGCATACTTGAGCTTTGCTTACTGCCTACTCATATTTTGATTCTGCTAGCCTTATTATTAGTCGTTTATTAATTGATTTGAGGATCCATTCATTTCACTATGTATATATATGTACATTTTAATCCTGTTCATTGACTTGGCGATTCGCTCACTCGACTCACCTGCTAGCTTTTCGGCATTACTCTTTCATGCTTGTTTAACGTACCTGTAAGTTTGATTATCTGTGCGTAGTGCAATAATGAACTTAATCAATACTTCGTATTCGCCATCTGATTAATACACTGTTGGGTCGTTGTTCAAGGATAGTTATCAGGATGAACTATATATGAAGTTTAAGGGCGCTATAGTGAATACCGACCATCACTTGTTCATCTAGTAATTATTGGAAAATCGAATTGTATTATTCGCTGTAGTTAAACAGTGTGTGTAGTGTCAGTTACTATATTAAGCCTATATGATTTGTTCTAGCTTCTGGACAGACTAATTTATTCATTCTCCTTGAGTTTATATATTGACCTTGTTAATTGTTTACTTACTTATCAACCTTCACTGTTTTTATATGAGCGCATAAGTGTGTGCACTTCTTATCTCATTCATCATTTGTCTGTAACTTATTTTTGTGTGACTCTAATGGTCTGGTATGTGACAAAATCTCAGCACAAATACAGAAGGTTCGACTAGCTCTTGCCAACTTGCGTCATTTATGGCGTAAGCGAGATATTCGTTTACCAACCAAAGGACGTGTTTACTGCGCAGCAGTTCGTTCCATCCTACTTTATGACAGTGAAATATGACCGATAAGAGTAGAGGATATTCGTAGGTTACTAGTATTTGATCATAGGTGTCTTCGAAGCACTGCTAGTATATCCTGGGACCACCGAGTAAGTAATACAGTTGTTAGGGGACGGGTACTAGGTTAAGGATGTCAAATCATTTGATGAAGTAGTGAAACTTCATCATTTGAGATGACTGGGACATGTGTTACGTATGCCCAATCATCGACTGCTCCGACTACCATTGTGGATACTCACTCTTGAGGAGTTCCCATTCTAGGAAGAAATGGTTGTTTAGTGCTTCCAGATTTTCAGTGATGATATAGTTTAGATGAACTCATGAATTCAACTTTGATGCTCGTTTCAGTGAAAAATATAAGTTAGACTAACTTTCATAATACATGAATACAAATAATTGAGATTATTCAGTATTTATCCATTGGGTTGAAGTAACTGTTAGGAGATCATAGATCAGAATGAATTAAGTTATTAATTATTTCGATGTGATATTCTTGTGAACTCCGATGAACATTTTATCAATAAATTGTACGTTCTTTACTGGCTAGACTGATTCCTTCTTATCTTAATAGTTTGAGACTTGAACGAGAATATTAGAGGTATTTTTTTGAAGAGTAATTACAGGTATTTACTAGTTGTGGTCATCTTTGTTGATATTCCAAATTGGATGAAGAAATTACAGGCTGTCGCAAAAACATTTATTTATTTATTTAAACACATAAAAATTGGTACAAGGAGACGCCACATAATCATTCGGTTTATGTGAGGGCTGAGATATCACCCGGGTGCCCAAACCGAACTAGGTGGTTTTGTTAGAGGGCAAAATCCCGAGTCTTTGAATTAACGGTCTAATTCACAAGGCAGTGGAGCAACGTAAGGAGATGCAGTTCCGTGGTAGCCGGTGACGAACAACAGGTTCATTCGCCATTTGTTTCCTTATGATTCTGGAGCCCATGTACACCATTGGTTTGGAATGAGGGTCTTCCAACTCCCCTAGGTGGATCCTCCATATCCACCAACCTGGTTAAAAAACCGGACATTCGCTTTTCGTGCTATCAATTTCGTAAACAACATGTGTGGTGCGAGAAGGCAGTTAGTAAGACCTCCTTGGCAGTGATTGTAAGCACGTGCCCTACTCTTAGCTGTACTAGGGCATTTGGAGGCTTCTCAAAAACATGCGTCTTCATATTATTGCTTATGTATGTTGGGATTACCGAGTGAACAATAATGAGATCAGATGCATGATACTAGGTAAAGATGAAAATCTTGTTGGTGAGGTGGCGAATCTTTATCGAATAATGTGGCTAGAATATGTTATATGTATGTCCAGCCACTGCTTACTTCAACACACGATGTTTACTAGTGTATGAGCAGATGCGAACAATATTTCTAAGTCATCTGTGATTAAATACTTGTAGGTTACGAGTATCTCCTATTCTTAATGAACACGTTTCGCAGCCGTTAAGTAGAACAGAACGAACTGCGGCGCAGTATGCTCGTCCCTTAACTGGTAGACGGATATCTCCATTCGGAGTTCACTGGTTATAAAACATATCATTTCTACCTTAACAACAAAATTTTCTGAAATGCTTTTATGTATAAATATGTCCCAAGCAATAATAAAGGCAAAATTTCACACTGAAGTAGTATATCATGTGGAGAATCATTAGTTTACCACTATATTAGTGAATGAAACAAGTATATTTTTTAATTGTGTGTGATCAAAGTCACATGTACAATCATGTTTATCAGTTGACTATTGAAAATATTACTTATATTTCTTAATAGTTGAATTCTTGAGTCAGTGTAAGATGGACAACTATTGAAAACCTGAAAGAATTGGACTGCTGTTTCGTCCTAGTATGAGACTCCTCAACGGTGCGTCCACGGTCCCACACGCGGGGTTCGAGCACAGGACCTTCGGTTTCGCGCACGAACTCTTAACCTCTAGACCACCGAATCGGCATTCATCGATCCATGAATGGCTGTGCAATTATTCATCCGTTGTCTGAGGTAGATACCTGTCTCTACCCGATACGGATTGGACTCCATTGGTATGGTAGAACGCAAGCAAAAAACTAAATGTAATATATTAATTCAAGACTTTAAAATTTACTTCTTTTTTAAGGAAAGTTTAATGTAGTCAATATATAAAGTCTAATAATAAGAGTTCAAAGTTTTGTATGTTCATAGTGTAAAGCAGTATGGATATACGATTAAGAATTGAAACTACACATCAGCTAGTATTTTAAATGGAATACTGCTTCAAAAAACGTCTCATTTCTGATGAATGATCATTAAGATTGGCTCTTCACCAGTAGATATACTTCAAAAAGATAAGTTATTGCATCGAATTCTAGGAAATTGGCAGTTTACAACCGTCATATCATGTATACAAAAATGATGAGATGTAGTTATCAATGGAATCAAGAACGCATGTTTCATCCCACTTAGCATTCATTAGCTGAATGCACGTGCCTTCCAGAGTTGACATTCATTCTGAAATTCAAACCTCATTGTCTTTCACTTCAAATAGTTAACACGTTTATCCACTTAACTACTGAGTCCCGATAGCTACCCACTTGTACAAGTATGTTATATTGTGTACTGAAAATTATTAAAAAAGCTAATCTTGTCTAAGATACGATGATATAATACTATCTGATAATAATAAAGTGATCTTATTTTTTGAAGCGTTCGGAGTAAGAAAAGAAGTGAATTTCATTCATCTTTTAGTCGTACCACTCTTTTTTCATTTATTACCGTTGTTGCTACCTTGACGTGATGGTCGGTCTTGCCTATCGTGATGAACCAATCGAGCTATACTGGTTGGAACAATCGTTCCTCATGGTTACACCATGCCAGACAGGTCGGTTGAAGAACGATAAGACTAAAAGCAGAAAACCCATGGTCCGAAGGCGAAGTCCTACTGCTGACTATACAAAGGTGTGACGGCAGTAAGGTGTTTTCTTCAGACAATCAGTGTAACAGCGATGCTACCTTCCCACAAGGAGGGGTGAAATTAGAATAGGTTGACCCTAAAGATGCACAAATCACCTTATCCTACGGATATTCATCTCCGGAGGTAAGGCACCGGCAAGTACGGAGCTAACAAAAAAAGGTTGTGTGTGACCCTTTGGTACCGCGGTCACGCTCTCTAATCATTAAGACCATCTCTAACCCAATTTTCTTTTCAAGTACTTCCAGAAGAATCTTTCCACGGTGTGGGAAACCGGGAAGTGATAGCTGCCCACATACCTCTAACAGTAATCACAATTGACTGATCACTGGGTGGTGATCGATGTCATGCTTGTCTAGTCCTTATTAGTGCAGATCGAATGTTATCGATCATGTTGCAATGTGGCCACCAGTCTAGGTGACTCGACACTACGGGCACTATTTATTGAGATTTAGATGGTGGTTGGAGGTAATCAACAGGAAACCCTGGACCCTGGACATCTCAGTCCTACAGGAGGTTAGTCACGGCTCGGATAGCTCAGTGGTAACGTCTCTGACTGTGAAGCTGGGTGGCACGAGACCGAATCCGCCGGGGAGCATCAGTTCCCTCATGATTACAGGTACACCTTGCTGACGAGTGCCAAGTAGCACGAAACACGGGTCCAGGGTTTCCTGTTGACTACCTCCAACTACCATCTATACCTCTAACAGTATTCAAGACCACTGTTGTAATTTAAACTAATGAACTCTGTTGACAGTTTTTAGTTTAATGTTTATGTAAATGAGATAGGATATGTTCCCATGAATTTGTAGAGCATCCTAGTTTTTCAGTGTCCAATATGTGTGCAGTATTAAACATTTCCGCACACTTTTCTATTCATTTATAGTGGATTAATGTTGCACATAAAAGCATATTTCCATTAAAGATTTCATTTCAAGCTTTAGCTTTCAATTTATCTGGTTTTTTTTCATCCAGTAAGTTGGAACGCCCTACAGTAGTGTGGTTATAGAAGATACATACAGATAATTTTAGATGATTGAAATAAAATGTCACATGAAAACTGTTTGTTGTATATACATTTTGGGGATGCTAGATCTTCAGAAGTCACTTGGTAAACGTATTATTTTTGTAGTTTTATTTCAGCAATTTGGATTTCTTGTTTTCGCACTAAAAGCGCCAATTCTCACCTTCATATCGTATTTCTTACTTGTCAAGTCTTTAAATATCATTGGTTCGTTTTCTTTATTTTGTGACATTTCTCAAGAACATTTTCATGCTGCATTTATATACTCTTGAGTTGGGTATGTTGTTGTGTTTCGTCCTTCTGTCTGTTTGTGGAATATATTTTCTCTCTTCTGACCTGAAATTCTCCCTCTAGTTAACGAGACTGGGATGCATCGGAATAGTTAGCTTATCTGATCATTTTGTTGCTAGGTCTTCATTCCGTTCTCAAATTTAGGTGATCTCATAACCTCTTCAAATATTTAATGAGGGTGGTTAACCTTATACAGGATTTAATGATCATAACCTTACTAATATTTATTGTCTTCATTTAATTAGGAATTTATTTTCCAAGTTTTTTGTAAAAAATGATGAAAAGTGGTTAACAGTGGAATCCAGGACGCACGTTTCGTCCCATTTGGAACTTGTCAGCTGGATGTATCTGCATCTCAGAGTTGATGTTCACTCTGGGACTTGAACACAGTACCATTCGCTTCAAACACCATCGCGTTATCCACTTAGCTACTGAGTCCTGATAGCCGCTTGCTTGTGCAATGGGGTGAATTTAAATTCACTTGGTATTGTTTGGCTTGTATCTTTCCATTAAGGTTTAGGACAGTAACTGATCAGTCTGTTATTGGCATATGTGCGTACTGTAGGAAGATACAGGTTAAACAATACCAAGTGAATTTATTTTCAAAGTTAATAAACATGATCATTTTCCTCTTTGATTATAAATCTTACTTAACAAATATCTTTTTCTATATTGTTATCCTATTTAAGAGATTACTGAATGTTTTACCACGTATTACTGAATAGGTTTCCATTGGCAATAGTAGGCTAACAGTAAAACTATAAGTGAGTAATACAGATTCTTAAGCTGAATAACATCATGTATTAGATTCTTGAGAATGTAACCTCGTGAGGTGGGGCCGTGAATGCCAACTGCTGAGGAGTTGCACAATAAGACGAAACGGCCGTCCATTGCTTCCAGGTGTTTCATGTTGGTCTAGCTTTAATTGACTCATGATTTCAATTATTAAATTTACTATAATATTCACAAAATCCATCTCTAATTAAAATTTATATATATTTAATTTCAGATCTACAACACAAAAGAAATCGACTAGTTCCATTATGACCACCAATTCAGAAAGGTTTAATTATCGTTCATTCGAATTAAAAAATCGTTCTAAACAAACTTACTCTTATATAAATGCTGTACGTAATCATAATTGTCATACAAGATTGTGGTAACTTGCTTGGTATGTTATTCATTCTTTGTTTTATCATGTGTAACTATTATATAATTTTTATGAAAGCATATGCTTATAATGAACTGTTATCATTAGGTCAAGAGGATTGGTGGTAAACAATTCCATTGTAATATAACCACAGATTATCCGTTAATTGTCAACATCTTTGAATGAATTCGAATTTGAAAGTGTAAGCTAAAATCATGTATTGAGATTAGATGGTGGTTGGAAGTAGTCGACAGGAAAACCTGGACCCGTGTTTCGTGCTACATAGCACTCGTCAGCAAGATGTACCTGTAATCTTGAGGGAACTGGTGCTCCCTGGCGGATTCGATCTCGTGTCACCCAGCTTCACAGTCAGAGATGTTACCATTCGATCTTCACTAATAAGAACTAGACACGCATGACATTCATTACCACCCAGTAATCAATCAATTGTGAATAAAATCATGTATTGTCAAATTCTGATAAGAAACAGTTAAGAATTAATAGAATTAACTACTGGTTATATTTGACTGTTCATTGAGTGATGATGACCAATTTCATGTTTCATAAAGGGGTTTAGTGAATATTTTAGTAATTTAATAGTTGAATTTACGAGTCAATTGAAGGGAACTATTGAGGAGTTCTACACTAGGATGGAACGACCGTTCAGTGCTTCCATGTTTTTTTTCATGGTGTTTGTCTAGTTTCATGATTGTCCAGTCCTCTAGTAGATATTCATCTTTAATCCTTCTCAAATGTTCATAATAAGATTTCGGGAAATCTATCTTGTTCTATTTCACTGGTAACCATGATCATTTAACCAAAATGTTTGTTTATGAGATGAATCTCTATGGTATTTTACCTACTTTCAATTATTCATTGCCTTCAATCTATGATAAATAATGAGTAAACTTATGTTAGCTACTCGTAAGTAACCTATAATTAAAGACGAAAAAAATTGCTTTCGAGAAAGTGTTCTTGAAAATGTAATTGCCTAGGATATTTGTTTTGCTAGTGGAATGAATTTACACTATTACTGATCACTAAGTATTGGAATATGCTTGCGGTTGAATTTTAATCCGCTTATTTCAAGAATGATATAATCAAATCAGCTTTAGAATGCAAGTACGTCCAACTGACGAGTCATAAATAGGACGATGTTTGAGTCTTGAATTCGACTGCTAACAATTATCAATCTCTGCTTACACTGACTGACCTAAAGCAATATTGAGGCAATCTTCACAGGATAAAGAATTGTCAATAAGTGACTGATCAATTGCAATCTTAAATGTCAATGGAAAGATTTAAACAATCCATACATAGAGAATTATAATCATCAAAGTCTCCACAAAGCGCTCCGGTCACAATAACCCACGTTTCAAAAATAAGCGTTGAAAATGTTGAGTGTCGATGCTCTAAGTGGGTGTAAATCAATCAAATCTCGTATCTTAAAGTATTGAGGTACTTTTTCTGGATATTTTCATCATATAGTCAGTCAGAAGAATTCATTCATCCAAAATATCTGTGTACCATCTTGCTCATTTCGGATATCTCTTCCTATTTGTTGACATGCTAAAATCGATTTCAAACAAAAGAACAGTTGATGTACTTATCCTTATGATAAATAATCGGTAACCGTATTACTGAGCGTATTCAAATACTTGCAAAATATTAATACTTAACATATTCTTGTAATCATGGTGGCCAAGTACATATTCTTAATTTTACCGTGACTTTTAAAAACTCTTCTATAACCATACGAACTTCAAAGGATTCCAAGTTAGAGCTTGCATCGTGATGCAGTTTGGTGATTTCCGTAATTTATGTCTTATCCACTCCCAGCATTTCTTAATTTCCTCTTCAGATGGAAGCTGGTTTGTTGCCTCTCACAGTAGGTCAACGAACAGTGTAGACAATTGTTTGTAAATACTTGTACCTTTTTGATTATTATTGTGGTAGTTCCCCAAGTTACTGCTCCGTACAATAAAACTGTGTTGACATTCGTATTGAAGATTGCAACTTTGATATTGGTTGACAGTTTTTTTAGTTTCATATGTTCTTTAATTGTAGAAATGCTTCCCTTGCTTTGCCAACCCTCACCTTTATATCTGCATCAAATTCTCCTTGTTCATCGATGATGTTGATCAGGTACATGAAAGTTCCTACCTCTTTCAGAACGTCTTCATCACGTGTGGTTGTGTTGAGATTATCCGTGTTGTATTTGAGGATCTTGGTTTTTCCCTTGTGTTATGTTGAGGCTTACCGCTACAGAGGCTGCTGCTGCACTAATTGTCTTCACCTACATTTGTTCGTGTGTATGGGACAGAAGGGTTAGGTCGTCTGTGAAGTTCAAATCATCTAGTTGCATCCAACCTGTTCATTTTATTCGCTGTAATTAAGATGACAATAGTGGAGTTTATTCATTATTTTACTGTAGTTACTACATGTTAACAGAGATTATTCTAAATATTTTTCTAAGAAAGTAACCGATGCTCAAACTACTTTTTATCGTATATTTTTCTTTAATTCAGAGCCGAAACAACGTCTGTCTATATTCATACAATAGACTGACAGTGTTACGCAATCCTCAGTGACACTGACATTTATAAACTGAAAAAGATTTCAGATATATATTGACAAACTTCAATAGTCATTCATTTAATCACAGTTAAACAATGATGTAATACTTTATACTTGATGTTATTTCAATAATTCCACTTATCTCTTTGTATCTTCTGACATTTGTGGTCAAATTCAATTGACTATCATCATAACTACCTGTCTAATCTTTTGAATTCTTCATGTCCCTTTATTTTTTCTCGTTCCAAATTTACTTCACTGGATTGTACTCCCTGAATAACAACTCCAAACCGTAATCTTTCCGATTACTGTTCATACTTTTATTACCTTTACCACTATAAGATTTGAATCGACAATTGTATCTCTGTGCTAATGTACTATTGGCAACTCAAACTGATGTACATACGTACGAAGTTCTACGTTGTTACTGACTGACTGACTGACATTGCCTACGTGTAAATATAACTTTATTAATTATAATGGTAAAACGAATGTAATTGATCCGTGGTATTTTTTGAAAAAACGGAAAAAGTTTCTTCAGTTTGCCTGCTACTTTGCTTTTCTATTCCATTTTGATTCAATTTTTGATTTTTTTTTCCCATTTTAAATGGTTATTGTTAAGATGATAATTATTATTATTCATAGTATAATCTTTGTTTCCATCATCATTTTCCTTAGAATTTGTACATTAGGGAAGGGTGAGTTTTCGAAGCCTTTGTCTTAAAAGATGAAATGATTACTGTTGTGACTTTAAGTCCGGCTTCTTATCACGTAATTTATTTGCCAATTGAAATACGACTTATTCAATCTTACTATTGTGTTAAACCAACGACGCTCAACCGGTGTGAGCAGTCTAGTGCCCTTGTTAATTCATTGTTCTTCTAGGTCTTTCAGTTGAATCCAGAACATCAATATCAGCTCTCACTATACGTATCATTGATTTCAAACATACTTGGCTTATATACCAACCAAACAGACCTCATCATAGCATGAAATAGTAAATAACATTCATACACACAATAAAGCCAAAATATGGCTGTGAATGTGGGAGACTGTAATCATCAATAAACTGAACATAACTTCTTAAGAACAGTAAATCGTATAATCATAATCCATGGGTTAAAATGGAGCTTATAATAAGATGAGTATAGTTAAATATACATAATCTAGTTACTGAATAGTTATACAATAGGAATATATGCATAATATTATTATTTCACCGGATTGTAGTATTAATACCCCGACGTGATGGTTAGGGCTTGAGTGTCATGATAAACATTTCAACCTATATTTACTTGTACATTCATTCCTTTGGGTCCTTCTATAACAGACAGGTTAGTTGTAGAGCCATAAGACTAAAAACAACAAACTTATAATACGATGGCAAAGTCATATTGTTCATTGTACAAGATCATGACAAAAGTAAGCTGTTTCCCGAAGACAACCAGGATTTACAATGATACGGACTTTTCATGATGGGGTAGGGAGTTAGGAGAAGTTGATATCAAAGATAGTCCATATGATCTTCCCCCATGGATTTCCATCTCTGACAGCAAAGCTTACTTATCTGAAAATATTCATGAGAAAGGCATTCATGACCAGCGTCATGCAGTAATCTGTTGAGCACTTCTATTAAACCATCAAGTTTTCAAGACTATCCCGAGCCCAGTTTCTTTTCCAAATATCTCTAAGAGAAATTTCCTTTCATGATGTAGGCAGCCGGATACTGACAAATTTCCGTATACCGCGAAAAATACTTGATGACTGATTGATTTTTATTTCACATTTGATTCGATAAGTTCAACTTTTGTATCATGAGAATAACTTGTCGAGTTCCATTTCATGAAGTTGTCTATTGTAGAGTATTAACATTTCTGATTTAAACTCAGAATAGTTTGAATGAAATAATCAACAGTATCAGTAGTATATCATTATAGACAGAAAATGGTGTATTAAACTTTCATCCAAGTTAAACAGTTAAGTAAACAAAAAACTTAAAAATTAAGGTAGTACATACTATAGAATAGGAAAATGGGTGGAAAACATAGGGCGGGATCATAAATCATTACATTTAATGAGATATGTTTGTGTTATGAAGATTCTATAACCTTGGTATACTCATATCTTATTAAATGAGTCATATCAAAGGCAGTTTGAAGGACTGAGTAGCTATAGCTAAAGATTTAATGAAAATCACTAAGAGTTTAATAGTTATTTCCATTTCTAATGTAAACACTGAACCAACGGGGACTATGATTTTAATATTAGGTTGAAACCAAGGATTTTATTTTACAAATTAAAATCACGAGTCAGTTGAAGCTAGACCACCATGGAAAACCTAGAAGCACCGGACGACCGTTTTGTCCTAGTATGAGACTCCTCAGCGGTGCGCATCAACGATAAAGCTCCTCGCGAGATTCCAACCCAGGACCTATCAGTCTCGCGTCAAGCGCACTGCTGAGGAGTCTCATACTAGGACGAAATGGCCGTCCAGTGCTTCCAGGTTTTCCATGGTGGTCTAGCTTCAACTGACTCATGATTTCAATCTATGAAATTTCTAAAATCTCCACAAACCCCTTCTGATTTTATTTTAGTCAAAATCGTCGTTCACTTATTGGGTGAAAATGTAAAATTTCAACTTCATTCTTGTTAGTACATAGTGCATATATATTAGTGGCCCTTTATTTTGTCAATTTCAAATCGGATGATATTGTTGACAGGCTCACCAGTTTAGTGCTCCAGGATCTGACCCTAGAGAGATCGTTTCTGATTGCTATTGAGATATACATATCGTCAATCCTCGTAGATAATTATCGACTTAGCTCGTGTTAGTGAATAACGTAATTAAATAAGTCAAATAAAAAAATGGATTTTTGAATGCATATATTTTGTATACTCGCAGATCTGGACAGGAAGTCAGAGGGATGAAATAAATAGAAAAGAGCGGAGCAAAATGATGCGCAGCGAAGAAGGCATGTGAACCAACTCCATTTAACCAAGCGTTAATCAATATTTATAGTCACACAAAAATAAGCTACAGACATCTGGTGAGTAGGACAAGATGTGCAGAAATATACGCTCATATAAAAGCAGTGAGGGTTGATAAGTGAATAATTAACAAGATCAAAACGTGGCTCAACAAGAACGGATAAATTTGCCTGTCCAGAAGCTAGAAAAAGGTATATGGGCTTAACATATAAACCGACACTATAACAAATTGTCAATAGGAATCTACCATCATCTTGACTTAGTTTTACCGGGATAAAAACTCTTGATTTATTTTCTCTTTGCACATATTCAACCTCATATGGATCTTTGCTGAAACACAAGTGGTTTTTACGTAAATTTTGGAACACCAGCACAAATCTTACTGCATGAATGCAATGCTCACTCTCAAGGATACTATATATGTATATGTTGGGATAGACTGCAGCTTGTTAGTTCCTAATCTGGATCGCATAGATATTTCTCTAAAATACTTAAAGATTATTGATTGCAAAATACTTAAACAAAATATAGTTAAGAACTATTGTAGTGTGGTGTGCACTACTGATGTCAACAGATATAAATAGTACGTATCATGAATGGGAAGTGAAATGCCTAGCGGCAGAAGGTTAAGGAGATCGAAGGAAAGAGAACGAGAACAGAGAATGGTTGATATGGAAACGAAAGAACAATGAAGTATGAGACGATTGTTTGACATTCTGCAAATGAAGTATTTACTATATGATTCTCAGATTTTACTAAGATATTCTGTCATTTTGTATTCAAATACATTCGATTGTCCTCAATTATGTTCTCGTTCACCACAGTAGTATTGTCTACTAGGTCAATATAAATGTGATTTCTAACCTGAATTTTATTTATTAAAAAATAACGTCAGTGGTATATATTGCGATTAATACTTTGAGTCTCTGTCATTGTATCTGTCATGAATGAATTAGACCGAGAACATCATAGTGTCGGTTAATAAGAACATCTGTAAATCTATAAGTATTACGCCTGATAGTCATAATGTTTCAGCATGGGATAATGCACCATGTTGCACAACATTTTCAATCACATTACATGATAATGACATTTTAGACTTCAGTAAACTGAATTTATATGTTTCATCTTCTGTATAATACGCTGAAGAAGTGATTTGAGGCGAAAATATCTAGTATACCAAATTATTTGATATATGAGTATTATGAGACCAAAGGTCCTAGGTTTGATTTCTTTTAGTAGAACGATAGATCTACACAACTGAAATGTTTTTACTGGAATGAAATAGTTGATGAGTGCTTCCTGGGTTTTATTGATCATTGATCTGAAAAAAAGTGATGTATTTACGCTATACATTTCGAACAATTCGGTCACACATATACTTGTCAGTACATTTTATCTGAAAATTAATAAAAGTCAATTAAATGAAAGTTCAAGTAAAAAAGGGGAGAGAACCAATTTTATATCGTATAGAAAGAATAAGAAAAGATATGTCGCTCAATTTCGCGAGTTAGTTGAAGTTAGACATTAACACTGTTGGATGCCGGTTCAGTGGTCTAGTGATTAAGCGCTTACGTACGAGAATGATAGGTCCTGGGTTCAAGTCTCGTGAGGCGGGATCGTGGATGCGCACTACTGAGGAGTTTCACAATAGGATGTAACGACCAACCGGTACTTCTAGGTTTTTCATGGTGGTCTAGCTTCAATTAACTCATGATCTCAATTAATGAAATAAGAGATTGTTGTGTAATCCTAGGCTATAGAATGACTTAAGACTTATCAGGGTAAATTCAAGGTTACGACAAATTGATATTTGTGCACATAAAGGGCGGGGGGTGTACATTTACGAATAACCAAGGCTTCAATAAACGATTATAAGTGATTCCATTGTTTTAATAAACTTCTTCAAAATATGATTGATTTTGCATACGTCTGTGAGTTCGCATTTCTGAAGATCCTATACTGAAACAGAATAAAAGTTCCTTGTTCTTTTTTTCTTTCTTTCTTTTTTCTTGGTTTTGCATCATTCATTATCCAGCTATACTTAGTTCATAACACGAACTCTTCTTTCTATAATCTGTTGAAGCAAATAACAGAATAAAAGAAATTCAACAATTCAGTACTTTTCATTGAATATAGAAGTAATTTATCTACGAAACAGTTGAACTATAGTAATTGAGAAACAAACGAAAACAATACAACTTAACCATTTATGACAATTTAGTATTGTTTACAGTGAAAACATACTACCTGCTGTATTTTAAGAGTTATATATTGTACCCTTGTTTATATTAAGGATTATAGTCGATCAGTATCTAGATCAATATGAATAACTAATATGGAGGACAGATTTCATTGATTATTTTAACTCTAAGTGTTTTGTTCAAGATCAATTCCGTTTCTCAATTCAATATGAACATTAGTCAGAATAATATTCTTTATATTTTTAATGAAACAAAATACTAACTTACGTCTGTTACTCCCTGTGGGGCATAGGCCGTCAACCAGCATTCTCCAACTCATTCTCTCTTGGGCTTTCCTTTCTAGTTCTATCCGATTTTTGTTCATTCTTCTCATGTATGTTTCCATTTATCGGCGTAATATGTTCTTTGGTCTTCCTCTCCTTCTTTGACCTTAAGGATTCCAACTGATGACAGCTTGCCTTGTGATACAGCTCGGTACTTTCTTTAATGTGTGTCCTATCCACTTCCAGCGCTTCTTCCTGATTTCTTACTCCTCTGGGACCTGGCTTGTTCTTTCGTACAGTAGGTTGTTGCTGATAGTGTCTGGCCAATGGATCCGAAGTATTTTGCGTAGACAGTTGTAAATAAACACTTGTATCTTCTGGATTTCGTAGTTCTTTGGGTTTCCACCTCATACAGTAGAACTGTCTTGACATTTATGTTGAATGAAAAAATTTACTTTGTATAATACTGATTTTCATTTCAATATAATGTTTATTTAATATGAATATTCTTTGTACTAAATGAATGTCAGCTCTTTTGTATTGACTGTAACTGATCAGTTTCTTTTGGCATATATATATCCTATGTAGATTGTCTCGATATTTTCATTAAGTCACACTCATTATAAGCAGAGGTGGATGATGGCTAGCAGAGAAACCCAGGACCCGAATTTCGTCTTATTTTCGAACTAACCATTATACTTCTCATTACATAAGATAGTGACTATCTGGGCTCATTAGCTGAGTAGATAATGCAATGAAGTCTAAAGCAAACGGCGATTCATACCATTCCCGGGATTTCGTTGATAGCCATCATTCAATCCTGTTCATAATGTGAACTCTGTTTAATATGTCATAAGTATGTTTTAAGCTAAGGATGACGCGTTTTAGAATATCAGTAAAACTTTATTTGCATTACTCTCTAGTGTTTTTAATCAGCGTCATGGAAGTAGCAACAAAACAGTGGGCATTTAATGGTGACTCAATGGGCAACATATCGACGTTTTAACTGATTGTCACAGGGTTTAAGTTTCAGAATGAAAATCAACACTGCACTCTAGGTTCATTCAGCTGATAAATCTTAGTTAGGATGAGAGGTATATTCTGTATTTTATTAACAGTTGCTATCTAATTCCACTGGTATTTTCTGTTTGTTAGAAACAAACGTTAACATTGAATATTTTGTTTACTTTCATTTAAGCAAGATGTTATTCACTCAAAGTTCAATAGTACTCCAAACAACAGAAAACAGCTTTACATTATTGTTGTCTTAATAAAATAATGATGTAAAGACTGTTTATATTCAGCTGCTATTGATTATTATACATATTTTAATATCTAATTTGTGCATAGAAAACAATGCTAAATGATTACATTCATGTCATTATGTTAATGTTCAGTCAGATTGCGAAGAGTTTTAAGTTAGACAGCCATTCAAAACCTGTAAACTTTGGGCAGCCGTTCTATCCTAGTATAAGACATTTCAGCAGTGTACATCTACGGTCCTGCAATCGGCGTCGAACCCAGGACTTTGAATATCAAGTGCAAACACTTAATCTTTAGTCCACTGAGTCGGGATCCATTGGTGTTCCTTTCTTACTTCACTCAGTTCGCGGTACTATGTGGTGATCGTTAATTGTATTCAGTGGGTAACTGCATCACACGACTTTTCAATAGAACTTCAGAGTTGAGATCACAAAATAGGTGTCCAGTGATTGCAAGAACTTAATAGTTTTTTATTGAGATCAGTTCGTGTTCTCAATAAAATGAGCATGATATTTTTCAGATTCCAGAATAATTAACAAGATCAAAACGTGGCTCAACAAGAACGGATAAATTGGCCTGTCCAGAAGCTAGAAAAAGGTATATGGGCTTAACATATAAACCAGTTTTCTCCAACTCATATTCAAAAAATGTATTGATTTAACTTCATTCAAACTGTCGAAATCCTAACGACTATGTTACTAAACATAAATTTGATGGTGATTAGAAATTTTATGTCGACTATACATACATTTCTTAACATAATTGTTATAACTTGTGAGCCTGTGTGCCCTGTTAATGTATGACGTGACGATACCGCAGAGAATTATCGATCCAACCAGTGACGCATAAAACACATACGAGCAGCCTAAAGACCTACTTAGTCATGCCTTCCGCCTAGCCCGTCCACTTGAGTCCAGAACACCAATGCCATCTCCCACTATGTAAATCGAATCGAATCGGATCATTTATTTCAGACATACTTGGTTTATATACCAAACAAACAGACCTCATCACACCATGAAATAGGAAATAACATCCATACACACAATAAAGCCAAAATGTGGCTGTGAATGTGGGAGACTGTAATCATCAATAAACTGAACATAACTTCTTAAGAACAGTAAATCGTATAATAGTAATAATCTATAAGTTACAATGAAGCTTATAATAAGAGGAATATAAATATACATAATCTAATTACTGAATAGTTATACCGTGATAATATATAGATAATATTAGTCAATAAATATATCTCCGAAGTTACTCGTGATTTATTCTTCGCTCAGATATGACAGGTTGGGCGTAGCTTCAGCATCTTCATCTCATATAACACAATCTTACAAAAAAAATGCTAACCAGAAGAACAATTCGAACCATTTAAATTCTGCCCTATATATACGAATACTATAAATATACGTTGTCAAGATAAAGCTGAATCTAAAGAAACATTAGACAACTGGACAAAGAGCAATACAAATGCTCAATACATCCCACCTTCGATTTACTGACAAATTCACTCAATACAAGGTAGCTATCAACAACAGGTTCCAAGCCTTATAAGATCTACTCACAGAAGAAGAAACTACTATGAAGGACAACTGGAAAAAGATCAAAGAATCACTAACTTCAACTTTTCACGAGGTTCTGGGTCGCAACAAGCATCATCATAATGAGTGGATCACTATCGAAACTCTGGACAAGATTTAAAGAAGGAAGAACAAGAAGACAGTAATTGACATCAGCCGAAGAAGAACAGAGAAAGTCAAGGCACAAGCTGAATACACAGAAACAAACAATCAAGTGAAGAAGTGTATTGGAACTGACAAGCAGAAATTCGTGGTGGACCTAGCAACGACAGTGATAAAAGCTGCAACAGAAGAAAATATCAAACAACTATATGAAACAACGAAGAAACTACCAGGGAAATATAGTAAACTAGAGACACCGGTCAAGGAAAAAATCTAATGATTTTAAGCAAAATTGAATATTGGCTAGCAGTTGAATCCAGGACGCGAGTTTGAAACAAATGGTACTGGGTTGAAGTCCCAGAGTGGACATCAACAAGTCTGAGATGCAGGTATATCCAATGACGTGTCCGAAAAAGTAAGAAATGCGCGTCTCAGATTCTACTGCTAGCCACTATCCACCTTTACTATTCTATCATATTAGTGATTATTAATTTTAACAAATAAATGAATTAAAAATATGATTCTACACCTTAAGTATATGCGTATTTTCTTTACTGGTTTATCTTTATTGTTCTTCAATTGTAAAATAGATCTATTTCATTATTGTATTTTAACTAGTTTCCTTCCCCTATTTCTTGATCGACCCTGATAATAAATATAGTGTGATCGACAGTTAGAAGTTAGCAGTTCAGAAATCGACATCCGAATCATGTCTATTCTTTTCAATGCATATTGCCAACAACCATGTTATCTCTGATTGGGCTCTTTTGTAATTTGTACAGGGAAATGTAGTAAACGTTTCATAAACGCAGCTGAATAGGTTATGAGACTAATAGACATAATCATATATTAAAACAAACAGAAAAACAGATAACTTGTTGAAATATCCGTATAGAAGAAACAGGTAGTTCAGTCTTCTCTTTGCTTCTACGATATTTTGTCTGAATCAACGATTGTATGAAATATAAATATTCCAAAAAACCATTCTCGTATTTGACTTATTTGATTCCATTATTCAGTAATGCGATTATATACGAGGATACAGGACATAACAATCATTCATACGATCGAAATGGAGTCACATAACGGTCCACAAAAGTGGTGAATTTGTCGACAACATCGTCAGATCTTATTGACGTCAAAATGAAGGGCCCCCACTAAACCTGACTAATTGTTTAATTGGTTGCCCTATACAATGTGAATTTTAGACTTTCACTGATGATTCTTCATCTTGGCTAGATGTTATGCATATGAACACGATTGAAAATATTTCATTTGTAAACATTTGAATCATTGTGTTTTTATTACGTATTGAGTATTTAGAACTTGTATGAACCAGCCTGACATGACTATCAAGTCATTAGCATTATTAAGTTAACATAGATAGTCATAAGCAGTGAAATCATAATCATGAGTTTCATTCTATATAGAACTCATTATCTGAGTATATTTGCACCCCAGTGTTAAGGATTCAGACACTTACAAATGGAATAAAATTCGTCAGTTCTGTACAGGCACGTATCTGTCTGAACTCAATGAATAACGTGTTGTGGTGAAAGACACTGGGTCAGAGTTCTGGTTTCTGCATCAACACTGAAATCCAAGTACATCCAGTTAATGATTTTTTTCATATTTATTTATTATTATTTATTTTAATAC